TCTGAGGGGGCCAGGTTCTGGCTCGTGGTCCCCGGTAGGCCCTAGAACTCCATACACATGACTGATGCCAAAGTCTGACATTAGCATATCAGCCGGTAAAGCTCCAGGAAGCCTCCGGGGCTAACCCAGAAAATGGCGTCTCATTACATTCAGTGCTGATTTTTTGTGTTGGGTCGCCTACCTATCTGGGTCCCTAACCCGGTCGTTAGCAGACATGGAATGATTCCAACCACATGGAGGTTTCAATAGGCCATTGATCCTTGTGTCTCTGAGGTAGAGAGGGGTCCAGGTTCTGGCTCATGGTCCCTGGTAGGCAAGAACTCAAATCAAATTGACTGATGCCAGGGTCTAATACATAATATCAACCCAGTAATCTCTGGGGAAACCTCTGGGACCCGCCCAGAAAATGGCGTTTCACTACATTCAATGCTGGGTTTTCTGTGGGGAGCCCCTACGGCTCCCTGGAGCTTATCGGGCTAATGTATGTTATGTTAGACCGGGACATTAGCTATGGAGTTCAGACCTACCAGGGACCAGCGCCAGAACCTGGCCCCTTCAGAGAGGTTTCAGGGAGCAATGGCCCTGGAAAACCCCATATGGTTGGGGGTTTTCCTTATCTGCCATCGACCGGGGTTAGGCACCCAGAAAGGTAGGCGTAACAAAACAAACCCCACATGGTAAGAAACTACAACAAAAACCGAACAGAGAGGTAGAAAACTCCCTACAATCCCAAGGAAAACAGTCAAACAATCAATTTACTGCCGCGCCGGTCGTCCGCGCAGCCCTCCCCTCCCTGGGAGGGGGAGGGGGGGGCCCCGGACCTCACCGCGCCGGCTGCCGTCAGTTCGCAAGCTAGTGTCAACCGGGATAGACGCTTCTCTGGCCTCAAATTCCTTGGCGGTGTTTGCCTCGTGTGGCGTTCTCTGCTGTTGTTGTGGTGTGCGGTGGCCAGGAGTACTTCATCAGTGCCGGGGCTGCATGCGCCTAGGGCTTCCTTCCCTAGGCGCCCTGTGAGTACTGCCCTTGCGTGTCAGGGTTATCTTCTATGGGGCGTTCGGGAACTGCTCCCGTAGAGGTTTTTGCTGCTCGGCATTTGCCTCGCCCTTGGGGCCAGCTGGGGCTTGGGGCCCTTGTTTGGCCTTGGGTAGGGAGTGGTTTTGTGCTGGTTAGGGCGTCAAGGTGTTGCGCGGCCTGCCACCTAAGCGGCGACCGGTTCCTGTTGCTCTGGGGACGGTGTACTTTTGCGGGGTTTTTCTTTTGTTTTGTTTTTGTTTGCCTGGTGGAGGTGCTACCTCGTGGGCCCATAGTTCCCCTGGTATTGTTTTGGTGGCCCTCTGCTAGGCCCCCGTGCTTGTACACGTCCCAGGGGTTTTCAGTATTATCATTTACCCGTGTTTTGTTTGGGTTTCTTAACCGGTTAGCAACACCTTGCCCGGGCTTCCCGTAGTTGCTACCCTACGGGCCCTGGAAACCCCTGTCGGGGCTCGGGGACCCATGGATGCGTCTCCCGAGTTCCAGCCTGCCTTGTGCGGGTTTGAAGGTTGCAGTGTGCCCTTGTCTCAGGATGACAGTCACCTGTTTTGCCTCCGTCATGCTGCCTGTTGGGTCAATGACACCTTTGACCCGGAGTCTTGCGAGTCCTGTTCTCTGCTTGTGCTCAGGTTTTACTCTGAGGATGTTCCTATTAGAGTACAGGCAGCATCAGCGTTGCATGTTAGATTTAGGTTATTGCAACGCGCTAGGTCGATTTCCCGCCTGGATGCCCCGAGGCTGCCCCGTTTTGGCTTTAGGGACCCTGACCTGGGGGCGTTGGTTGCTATGGCTTTGACTCCTACACCCTCTGGTCCTTCCCCTGTGGTTCTTCCTGCACCTCCCCCCCTGTGTCCGGCTCCGAAACGTATGCGGTTTTCGGCCTTGGCACAGGATTTAGTTGGTGGAGAGACTCGGGCTGCTTCGGGGGCTGCCCCATCCGGGTCGGGGACGGAGGCATTTGAGCCGGTTCCTCCTGCCGAGGCTTCTGGGTCCCACCAGCAGGCCCCCTTCTTGTCTGCCTTTCCCTTGGACTCTACCTTTTCTTCAGGGGTGGAGGGTTTGGAGGACGGCTCTGCCCCTGGTCCCGACGTAGGGGATCCTGGGGCTGGGGAGGAGTCGGCCTGGGGGCCTTGGGCCCCCTGTGACCCCGCTTGGGTGCTTTTGCCTTCCCCACGGGGTTTATTGTTGCAGGGGGAGGGGTTTTCTTACCCTCCCTCCCTGTATGAGTATGATTTGGGTTCGGCTCCTCCCCAGGTTCGGTTCCGGGCGCCTTTGGGTACCTCGGCTCTGTCTTTACAGGGGTTTGCTACTTCCCGTCTCTCTGCGAAGGTGGCACGGGAAGCTCTTGCTGCATACCTCTTGCGAGACCCGGGTTATGCCTCCCCAATGGATCCGTCCTCGTTTGAGTTCGGTTCTTCTTCCCGTTTTTGGGTGCGTTTGGAGGTTCCGGGGTCTTCCTGGCTAGCAGACTGCCCATTCTTTTCGTTGGGGGCGTGGCATGGGTTCTGTCGGACCCGCACGCTTGATTGGCGGGAGACTGCTACTTTTATGCAGGTTTACCTGGGGGGCGAGTTTGAGCACCTTAATGCGTGCTTATTCGCTCCTGTGCTTTCTCGAGATGTTGGCCTTTTCCAGCTTCACGTGCAGGTTCCTCAGCTTTCGGCTTCCTTGGTTGCGGAGGAGTTGCGCTCCCGTGGGCATTTGGCTTCGGTCTTTTCCCTTCTCGAGCTCTCTTCTGCTTGGCTCGAGGAGGATGTGGGAGCGTTGAGTGAAGGGCCTTCGTCCGGGGCGCTTTCTTCGGCAGCTAGGGCGTCGGCTGCACTGTTCAAGCTCTTTGCGCCCATCCTGAAGGAAGCGGTGTCTCTGTTTTTTGCTTCTCGCCTCGCGTGCCGTCAGGCTGTGCTCGCCCTCTCTTTGGAATCCGCTTGGGCCCTGGCTCTTAGGTTTTCGTCTCCTTTTTGTCCGTTGCTGTTTGCAGAGTCTGCAGTGTCCCAGTTTCTGCATGCGGCTTCGACTAATTGTCGTCCTATGGCGGACTTGTTGATTCTCCGGAGCGGTCGTTCTCGGCAGTTTCGGAGGGGTCGTGCCAGGGTTTCGGGTTCCGCTGGTCGAGGTGGGCCATTGGTGCCAGTTTCTGAGCCGTTGTTCCCTTCGGGGCCAGCGTCGTCTGGTCGGCGCAGTGATCGCCCTGTTCGACGGTTGGGTTCTCGTAAGGGGCGTCGGCCCTTTCGCGGTTTGCCCCGTTGACGGGGTGATGGGGGGGAGGCTCGCTCTGTTTGCCCACGCTTGGTCCCATGATTTGTGGGCCTTTTCGGTCGTGTCATCCGGCCTGCGGTGGCGTTGGGCGACTCGTCCTCCTTTGGGGGGTTCGGGGCTAACAGGGCAGGTCTCTTCTCCTGCGCTTCGTCAAGTCATCTTGGAGTGGGTGCACTTGGGCGGGGTCGAACCGACTACGTCCCTCAGGTGGGTTTCCCGCCTGTTTCCAGTGCCGAAACGGGACTGTGCTGATCTGAGGTTCATTCTGGACTTGTCCCGTCTGAACCCCTGGATTCCTTGCCCCTCCTTTCGGATGACTACTCTGTCTCAGGTCCGGCTTCTGTTGGAGCCGGGTGCCTGGATGGTGTCCCTGGACCTCAAGGACGCGTATTGGCACGTTCCTATTCATCCGGGGTTCCGGGACTGGTTAGGCTTCGTGGTAGGGCGTCACGCTTACCGTTTTCAATGCCTACCTTTTGGCCTGAATCTGGCACCTCGCGTTTTCACGCGTCTGACCCGAGTTGTGGTGACCCGTCTGCGTCTTCTAGGGATTCGGGTTTTGGCCTACCTCGACGACTGGCTGATGTGGGCTCCCAGTCGGTCAGCTTGTCTGCTCGCCAGGGATATGGTTCTTTCCCAGCTCGCCAGGTTCGGGTTCCTGGTGAACTGGAGGAAGTCCCATCTGGTTCCGTCCCAGGTTCGGACCTGGCTGGGTCTTGTTTGGGATTCTCGGACCGCTTCCTTGTCTCTCCCTCCGGTGGCGTCGCGGCGGCTGCGGGACCGCCGTTTGCTGTTTCTGAGGGGGTCCCGGGTCACTCGGCGGTTGCTTGAGCGGTTGTGCGGGAGTCTGAACTTCGCCATGCTAGTCTACTCGCCGGGTCGGGTTTGGCTTCGGCGTCTGTTTTGGTTCCTTCGGGGACGTCCTTTCCGCCTCTCTCGCGATCGCTGGGTTCGCCCTCCGGGGGTCTTATGTCGGTTGCTGCGTCACCGACTTCCTCTTCGGGTTTTTCGGGGTTCGGTGCCTTGGCGCCTTCCCGAGCCCTCGCTCGATGTGTTCACGGACGCGTCGTCTCTCGGCTGGGGCTTTGTGACCAGTGCTCACCAGGCAGGCCAGGGACGGTGGGGTCCGTCCTTCCATCGGGCTCACAGCACGGTTCGGGAGTTCGCGGCTGTCTGGTTCGCGCTTCGGAGGATTCGGGTCGCTCGGGGATCGACCATTCGCCTCCATTCGGACTGTTCTCCGGTGGTTCATTGCCCTCCCCGAGGGGAGGGGAGGGCTGTGCGGACGACCGGCGCGGCAGTAAATTGATTGTTTGATTGTTTTCCTTGGGATTGTAGGGAGTTTTCTACCTCTCTGTTCGGTTTTTTGTTGTAGTTTTTTACCATGTGGGGTTTGTTTTCTTGCGCCTACCTTTCTGGGTGCCTAACCCCGGTCGATGGCAGATAAGGAAAACCCCCAACCATATGGGGTTTTCCAGGGCCATTGCTCCCTGAAACCTCTCTGAAGGGGCCAGGTTCTGGCGCTGGTCCCTGGTAGGTCTGAACTCTATAGCTAATATCCCGGTCTAACATAACATACATTAGCCCGATAAGCTCCAGGGAGCCTCCGGGGCTCGTCCAGAAAATGGCGTTTCATTACATTCAACGCTGGTTTTTTGTTACCATTTGAATGTTGTAAGAAGTTATATTGTACACCTCATATATCTTTACAGAATATGTGAAGGAACTAAAGACCCAAAGCTGGTTCTTAGTGAACAAATTGAGAAGTACCGACATGTCTTCGAAGAAGCTTTAAGGCAGGTAGGATAAAATGCCAAGAGTAGTATTTCCCTATTATTGTAATAGTAATTTACCTTTCATAGCACTTTAATTTAACACTTTGAGGTTCCACAGACTGATTATCTCGTCACTCATTTTTCTACTGAATGTGTTCCAACGACGCAATACTGAGTCACTCATTAAAATATTTTTTAAAAATTTAAATTTTATCAGATCAATCTGGTAGTGGTTTTAAAATAAGCGCCTTTAGATTGCACACAATTTGATACCAAAATCAAAGATATAACATGAAACTTGATGTCCAAACACTTGATATATTATAAATAGGCCTATGGTCCGAATATTAAAATAACTGTTAAAATTCTATTTATTGTCCTATTATCTTGGGACTAGTTTTAAAATGCGCGCCGTTTTATTGCGAACAATTTGATACCAAAATGAAAGATGTACCACAAATATTTATGTCAGAACACTGGAAAGATATACAGTAAATAAATTTGTGATGATGAGCGTCCAGAATTAAAATATTTGTAAAAAATCCAGTTATTGCTCTATTATTCTGGGACTAGTTTTAAAATACTCGCCTTTTTATTGCGAACAATTTGATACCAAAACGAGCAACGTAGCACGAAATTTGATGTTATCAAATTGAATGAGTTGAACATTAGGTTGCAATGTACAAAATGGTGCTCGTTCACGGGTAACTTTAGGCTTTTCTGCGGGGAGGCACTCCAGCCTTTTGTACATTTTATTCATACACATCTGTAGGGAATTTAATTGCGAACACAATGATACCAAAACGAGCGACGTAGCACGAGAATTAAGGTAAAAAAATGGAACGAGAATGCACATGTTACTGATTTTGTGCGTTTTTGCCGACTTTACGCTTTGCTGTTGGGAGTCACGCTAGGCTTTTGGACATTATATTTATACACACCTGTAGAGAATTTAATTGCGAACACAATGATACCAAAACGAGCGACGTAGCATGAGAATTAAGGTGAGAAAGCTGGAACGAGTATACACATTTGGGTGTCACCGCGCGCTTACCCACACGGAGGGGCTACCTACCCCCTGTCAACCGCGAGTTTCCACGGAGCGCGAAAGTGTTAATGTCTGTTAGTGATTTACCATTCTCAGCTTCCTTCTAGGTACTTCATTCTGGTGTGCCTTGTTTGGATGTACTTGTGTTTAGAATTGTGAGGATGTGTTAGTAGAGTGGTATATCTATATATATATATTTATACTGTATATCAAATATATCTTTAGAAGTGAACTTTGTTTAAATTGCAGTCATTTCCTTGTGTCTGATATTGTGCCTTTCCTTTGTCTGATTCCCATTCCAAGAATTGAGTGTTTGATGTAATAACCCATACTTCAAGTTAATTCCCATACCTCTTTCTATTTATGATTCCCATTTGCATTCCTTGAATTCCCATTCCATGGACCATTGTTACATCCAGTCAGTCTTGCCTACCAGCTGTCATTCCTCCACTCAATCTGACCCACCTTTCATCTGACTCAATCTTTCTTCCACTCAGTCTTTGTCATAATGTATTGAATGAGTTCAATATGTAATGCTTACTTTCAGTACAACTAATAGATTAATAATTACTTGTACAGGCCAGCAAAATTGATGAAGCTTTGGCTCGGTTCCTGAACGAGGAGCCACGTCGCCCTGCGGATGACGCTCCCATCCCAGACATTCCACAGTTTACTCCGGCAAGTATTAAATATAATGTTGACTGCGTCAATACATGGAGGATATACATTTTTATTGCAAATTTCCTAATTTAACTTATATTGTTATGGAAATACAATGGAGTCCATCATTTTCTGGGAGGACTGCCCAAGTCACTGAGGAGACCCACCAAAAAGAGGCCTTTCATTACATTCAACAATTCAACTTTATATTTATGCCTGAATGGTCACTTAAATTTCAAAACAACAGGGAATCTAGGACATGTACACTGAAGAAAATATGCAAGTTGGGTACATGTGAAACCCATTCAGGTCACATATTTAAGCAGCCGGTAAACAAAACTAAGGCTCGTGAATGTGACAGTTATGAAATCCAAAGGGTTTGGCAAATATGGCTCATTGCTCCAAAATCTTTTTGAGCAATATGATGAAATTGCACTCACATCTCATGTATTACCTGCTGGACTAAACAATTTTTTCATAGAATATTACACTATTGTGATTTCATTTTGTAAAGATAACTAGTCATTAGTCATCTCAATTTATGTGGCATCAAAAAAATAGATTATTTGATGGTATTTGAGATTACTTTAATGTTGGAGCAGTACTGTGTGCAGCTGGGCTAGGACAGGTGTGCAAGCCACTGGCAATATTTATCAGCAACGTAAAATGTTTAGAGCAACAGCACAAGATCTTTAGGAGATCTTGCCAGATATAGGTCGTATCTGATCTCTGTCTGGTGGTGCAGGGAGACCAGAGATTGGTGATATCAAATTTATATAATGTGGTGCTAGTCATAAGGTAGAGGATCCATTTATGGGAACAATTCAGCAAAAGCCTGTAATATGAGGGAAAAAGAATTTCCTGAAACACCATGTGGTTAACATACAAATTTATTCACTAAATTAGAACACAGCAAGAAAATATATATACTGTACACATCAAAATAGAATAGTTGTCTCTACTTTAAGAGGTGTCATAGACAAGTCTATGGGCAGTACTGTCTCTTGATGACGATATCCAGGTGACGTAACACAACCTAACCTTAACGCTAATAATAATTACCATCTCGAGCAATAATGGCTGCATAACACCACTGCTGTATGTAAAGGGACAATCTGGAGCTTCTTCACCACCTTCGAGGTCAACCCCGGAACTCACAGTTCCTGCGACGGCGCTGGAACCAATCGTATTGGCGTATGCCTTTCCATTGGAGACTTTCAGCGCCGTGGAGAGGGGGGACCTGCTGCCTGGGTAACAGCTTCTCCCCCGAATCAACCTACCCTGGCTTTGCGCCCTGGTGAGGCCACTCCAGACCGACAACCAGAGCGCAACTCCATAGTCTCCTGTGACTGATGGATGCCTACTACTACCGGATCTTGGTGCCCTGTCTGAGTCTGCTTGGGATTCGGTGTCTGGCCTACCTCGACGACTGGCTGGTGTGGGCTCCCAGTCGGTCCACTTGTCTGCTCGCCAGGGGTGTGGTTCTTTCCAGATCGCCTGGTTTGGTTTCCTGGTGATCTGGAGGCCGTTCCATCTGTTTCCGTCCCGGGTTCGGACCTGGCTGGGTCTTGTTTAGGGCTCTTGGGTCATTCCTTGTCTTTCTCTCCCAAAGTGTTGCTGCAGCTGTGGTCCCGTTTCGGCTGTTTATGACAGGGTCCCCGGATTGCTCGGCGGTTGCTCGAGTGGTTGTGTGGGAGTCTGAACTTCGACGTGCTGGCCTGCCTGCATGGTCGGGTTTGGCTTTGGCGTCTGTTTGGTTCCTACAGAGACTCCCCTTCCGCCTCTCTTGCATTCGTTGGGTTCGTCCTCCGGGGATCTTGTTGGTGCTGCGTCACCAGCTTCCTCTTTGGGGTTTTCAGGGTTCCGTGCCTTGGCACCTCCCCGAGCCATCGCTCGATGTGTTCACGGACGGGTCATCTCTTGGCTGGGGCTTTGTGACCAGTGCTCACAAGGTCGGCCGGGGATGGTGGGGTCTGTCCGTCCATCGGGCTCACAGCACGGTTCGGGATTTTGTGGCTGTCTGGTTTGCGCTTCGGAGGGGTTTGGATCACTCAGTGCTAAGCCATCCAGCTCCATTCGGACTGTTCTCTGGTGGTTCTTTGACGGAACCACATGGTTTCTCTTAGAGGTTTGACCTTCGGGGTTAGTCCTTCAAGTGGCTTGTTTGCTGGATTCTCGGGGTTTGGCTAGCCGTGAGGTTCATGTCCGGGGTATGTCCTGTGTCCTGGCGGACAGCCTGTCTCGGTTCATTCCTCTGTTCCCGGATTGGTCAGTCATCGCCGACTCGTTTCGTTGGCTCTGGCGGATGTATGGACTCCTGAACCTGGACATCTTCACGTCGGCGTGGTCTAGGCGTCGCCCATTCTATGTGGCGCCCTTACCCGCCTGCGAGGTGTTCACGGTGGATGCCTTTCAGCAGGACTGGTCGAGGTGGGGGGTACCTGTTCCTCTTCTCCCGGTCCAGCTGTTGCTTCGGGTCCTGCCTCGGTTGGAGTCCATTCCCAAGGAAAGTAGTCCTCATGGTCCCTTGGTGGCCGGCCCAGCTTTATTTTCAGACACTGCTTGATAGGTGTCCAAACCTGGGGCGTTTTCCAGCAGCTCCGCCTCTTTTGGCAGGTCAGACTGGTCCTGTATGTGACTGGTTCGGCCTTCTCCTCAGCTCTTCGCGTCGTGACTCGTCTGCTGAGTTCTCGAGGTTTGGCTCTCCTGGCAGTTCACGTGCTGGGAATGTCTAACATCTTGGCCAATGCCCTGTCTCTTTTCGTTCCCCTCTCCACAGAATGGACAGTCGATGCCGACTCCTTCCGTTGGCTTTGCCAGACATTCGGACGCCCCAAGGTGGACCTCTTCGCGTCGGCGTGGCCGCAGCGCCTTTCCCTGTATGTGGCGCCCTTTCCAACTGCGAGGCCGTCGGGGTCGACGCCTTTCAGCAGGACTGGTCAAGGTGGGGTTTCCTGTACCTCTTTCCCCCAGTTCAGCTGTTACTCCAGGTTCTGACTCGCTTAGAGACTTACCAGGGAAGAGTTGTCCTCTTGGCTCCTTGGTGGCCGGCCCAGTCGTGGTTCAGGCGCTTCTTGCTTGGTATTCGAACCCGGAGGTTTTTCCCCGGCTCCGCCTCTTCCAACAGATCGGCCCGGTACATCACGTGGCTGGTTCGATCTTCTCCTCGAGTCTTCGCGTATGGTATTTCTGGGGGGAGCCCCGTCGGCTCCCCGGAGCTATCCCAGGCTGATATGCTAATGTCAGACTTTGGCATCAGTCATGTGTATGGAGTTCTTAGGCCTACCGGGGACCACGGCCAGAACCGGGCCCCCTCAGAGAGGCAAGGGGAGCAATGGCCTATAGAAGCCCCCGTGTAGTTGGAAGCATTCTATGTCTGCCATTGACCGGAACAGGCACCCAGAAAGGTAAGCGCCCCAAAACAAACCCCTATTTTGGTTAAAATTGCTACCTAAAACCGAACTAGTGGATAGAACTCCCCAACCGAAAACAAGCAAACTAGTGTGACGTCACACTGCCGCGCCGCTGTCTGCGCAGCTCCCCCCTCCCCGGGAGGGGGAAGGGGGAGCCCCAGACCCCCCGCGCCGGCTACCCACACCTCAGTTCTTGAGGCTGATGCTATAGGCGATGGTCGTGTGCTCTGGCTCCGGTGTCGCTACTGCACTGTGCTTTGTGTGTGGTGTTAGTTTTGTGGGTGCGAGAGCCAGGAGTTATCTTCAGTACTCGGGCTGCATGCGCCTAGGGCTGCCTTCCCTAGGTGCCCTGTAAGTACTGCCCTTGGGGCTTGGGGCTACCTTCCACAGGCTCCTCGGGGTCTGCCTCTGCTGGTCCGTTTTATCTTTCAGCAGATCGGGCCGGTGCGTCACGTAGCTGGTTCGATCTTCTCCTCGAGTCTTCGCGTATGGTTTTTTTTGACTCGAGTCTATCATCATCTCTATGGTGATCAGGTGGCCTCCTTGTTGGTGTCCCACCTGAGGGCTTCTTCTCGGCGGCAGTATGAAGTTTCCTGGCGGTCCTTCCATTTCTTTTTGCGTCTTCGTCGTGTTAGCTCTTTGTCTGTTCGGGTGGTCTTGTCCTTCCTCTCGTGGTTGTTTCAGGACCGTCATCTTATGCCTAACACTGTCGCTTCGTATCGTGCGGCGCTGGCGGAGCCACTTCAGCTTGCTTTCGGTATCGATGTTACGTCTGCGCCGTTTCGCAAGCTGTCTCGTGCATTGTTTCACCTCCGGCCTGCTCATGCGTCGCCTGAGCCGTCCTGGTCTTTGGACAGAGTGCTCGCTTTCCTTTCATCTCCTCGTTTCGTTGTGGCCCCTTCGGTCCAGGATTGTTTTTCCAAGGCACTTTTCTTGTTGGCTTTGGCCTCTGGGGGTCGGGTAGGGGAGCTTCATGCTCTCCTCCGGCGCAGGGGTTTCTGCTCTTTTGGTCGTGGTGATAGTTTTGTTCGTTTGCAGCCGTCTCCTTCTTTTCTGGCAAAGAATGAGACTGCTGCGTTCCGGAGGGGTCCATGGGTGGTTGATGCTTGGTTGGTCAGGCCGGGGGTGCATCATGTTTTGTGTCCGGTTGCGGCGCTTCGCCGTTATTTGCGCGCCACAGCTTCTGTGTCCGGGGACGCGCTGTGGGTTGATCCGGTTTCCCTTCTTCCCTGTTCGCGGGTTCGGGTCTCTCAGGTCGTCCGCAGGGTTATTAGGTCCAGCCAGCCTGTGGTCTATCCCCGTGCCCATAACATTCGTAAGTTCGCGGCTCTTGCTGCCGTCTTTGGGAATGTCTTGGTCTGATATTCGGGCGCGGGGATTTTGGCGGTCGAACAGGGTCCTGGCTGCTCGTTACCTTGTGAATGTCCCTGGGCCTCGTCGGGCCTGTGTTGCTTTGGGTCGGCGGTTGCAGCCAGTTGTCTCGGCTTCGAGTTGAGGGGTGAGCGACGACCGCCTCCCGGGTAAGTCCCTCTTTTTCTGTCTGTGGGTAGTTCGCTCCGGGGAGCCGACGGGGCTCCCCCCAGAAAACCAGCGTTGAATGTAATGAAACGCCATTTTCTGGGTGAGTCCCGGAGGCTCCCCGGCATCCCTCCCTCCCTCCGGTCGGCGGTTTTTCGCGTTTTTGACATCCAGCCTCAAGAACTGAGGTGTGGGTAGCCGGCGCGGGGGGTCTGGGGCTCCCCCTTCCCCCTCCCGGGGAGGGGGGAGCTGCGCAGACAGCGGCGCGGCAGTGTGACGTCACACTAGTTTGCTTGTTTTCGGTTGGGGAGTTCTATCCACTAGTTCGGTTTTAGGTAGCAATTTTAACCAAAATAGGGGTTTGTTTTGGGGCGCTTACCTTTCTGGGTGCCTGTTCCGGTCAATGGCAGACATAGAATGCTTCCAACTACACGGGGGCTTCTATAGGCCATTGCTCCCCTTGCCTCTCTGAGGGGGCCCGGTTCTGGCCGTGGTCCCCGGTAGGCCTAAGAACTCCATACACATGACTGATGCCAAAGTCTGACATTAGCATATCAGCCTGGGATAGCTCCGGGGAGCCTCCGGGACTCACCCAGAAAATGGCGTTTCATTACATTCAACGCTGGTTTTTTGACTCGAGTTTACCATCATCTCTATGGCGATCAGGTGCCTTCCTTATTAGTGTCCCACCTGCGGGCTTCGTCTCGGCGGTAGTATGAAGTTTCCTGGCGGTCCTTCCAGCTCTTCTTACGTCTTCGTTGTTGTACTTCTCTTTCTGTTAGGGTGGTGGTGTCCTTTCTCTCTTGGTTGTTCCAGGACCGTCTTCTTATGGCTAATACTGTCGCCTCGTATCGTGCTGCCCTGGTGGAGCCGCTTCAGCTTGCTTTTGGTATTGATGTCACGTCTGCGCCATTTCGCAAGCTGTCTCGGGCGTTGTTTCACCTCTGGCCTGGTCATGCGCCGCCTGAGCCATCCTGGTCTTTGGACAGAGTGCTCTCTTTTCTTTCTTCTCCTCGTTTTGTTGTGGCCCCTTTGGTTCCAGATTGCTTTTCGAAGGCTCTTTTCCTGTTTGCATTGGCCTCAGGGGGTCGGGTGGGTGAGCTTCATGCTCTCCTCCGGCGCAGAGGTTTCTGCTCCTTCAATCGGGGTGATCGTTTTGTTTGTCTGCAGCCTTCTTCTTTTCTGGCGAAGAATGAGACTGCTGCTTTCCGGAGGGGCCCTTGGGTTGTTGATGCTTGGTTGGTTCAGTTGGGGGTGCATCATGTTTTGCGTCCAGTTGCGGCTCTCCGCCGTTATTTGCGCGCCACAGCTTTTGTGTTTGTGGATGCATTTTGGGTTGATCCGGTTTTCCTTCTTCCCTGCTCGAGGGTGCGGGTCTCCCAGATCATCCACAGGGTTATAAAGGCTAGCCAGCCTGCGGTCTATCCCTGTGCCCATGACATCCGCAAGTTTGCGGCTCTTGCCGCTGTCTTTGACAATATGTCTTTGGCTGACATTCGGGCGCGGGGATTTTGGTGATCGAACAGGGTCCTGGCTGCTCGGTACCTTGTAAACGTTCCTGGGCCCAGTCGGGCCTGTGTTGCTTTTGGTCGGCGGATGCAGCCAGTTGTCTCGACTTCGGGTTGAGGAGTGAGCAGCAACTGCCTCCCAGGTAAGTCCCTATTCTTTTCATCTGTGGGTAGTTAGCTCCGGGGAGCTGTAGGGGCTCCCCCCAGAAAACCAGCATTGAATGTATTGAAACACCATTTTCTGGGTGAGTCCCGGAGGCTCTCTGGCATCCCTCCCTCTCTCCGGTTGGCGTTTTTTTCACGTGTTTTTGACATCCAGCCTCAGAACTAGGGTGTGGATTGCCAGCACAGTAGGTAGGGGCTGCCCCATCCCCCTCCCATGGAGAGGGGGCTGCGCAGACAGCGGCACGACGACGAATGATGTCACACTAGTTTGCTCGTTTTTGTTTGGGGAGTTCTATCCACTCGTTCAGCTTTTGGTTGCAATTTTCACCAGAACAGGGGTTTGTTTTGGGATGCCTATCTTTCTGGGTGCCTGACCCGGTCGATGGCAGACATAGAATGCTTCCAATTACATGGGGGTTTCTATAGGCTATTGCTCCCCTTGCCTCTCTAGAGGGGGCCATGTTCTGGCTCATGGTTCGTAGTAGGCCCATAAGAACTCCATACACATGACTGATGCCAAAGTCTGAGATTAGCATATCAGCCTAGTAAGCTTCGGGGAGCCTCTGGGACTCGCCCAGAAAATGGCGTTTCACTACATTCAACTCTGGTTTTTTATTAAATAATTTTTAGTGTTTCTTTTGTTTTTGGCTATGATGAATTGTTCTAAAATTAATGGTAATTCCTGTACTGCAGTGTATAGTCCGCTTCACGTCCCCTTATCCCCCCAGGTTGTCCCTCCCATCGCTTCCCTCTCTCCCGACCCGACCCACCCACCTCACAGCCTCCTACACCATGTGCCTCGAGCCACAGTCGTACGGGATTAATACGGTACGGCCAGCTGCCTGACTTTCGTATCCGAACAATTCACTGCTTGTCCGGCTGACTGTCCGGATATTGCAACATCGGCAACAAGTTAACCGGCCCAGGTTATTTATCCAGTCAACCACCCGATTTTCCAGCTCCTATGGACATTTTGGCCGGATATTGAGATAACTTTATCTGGTCACGATTTTGGCCGTATGAGGACGTTTACCAGATATTCAAATCCTGGATAATCGAGTGTCTACAGTATTTTAATTTTGTTATTTTTCTTCTACAGACAGCCTGTGTATGTCTACATCAGGCTGGTATAGAGGTTTGACCCTCCCCATGATGTAACTCCACAGTTGACTAAATCTAGAATACCTGTTTACTGCTAGGTGAACAGAGGAATTAGGTGAAACATGCCTGTCCATTTCTGTGCGCCCCCTTTTCTGGGATTCAAACCCGGAATTCCCGATTGTGAGTTGAGAATGAACTGAGCTGTATGTACTATTGAGACCCTGTGTGAATAGTTTGTGCAGCTGTTTAGCTGCTTCAATGCTTTGTTTTCTGTGAACACTCCAGTTTTCTGCCAAACTTCACTCTTTCTGGATGCTTTCCAGGTGGGGTGGTGAATTGTCACTTGCTCCCTGCACCACTACGAGGGCTGGCTCTGGTCCCTGGTCGGCCGAGCAGAGTTTCAATGACAGATTTTACTTTTTTAGGCCATTATGTAGTGTAAATATAAAATATTTCCCATTTCATGTGCACTTTCTGATTATTGCAGGTGTGTAAGTGTCCCTCTTGCGGTTGTGACGTGGTGGTGAAGCAGAAGCGCAACGAAGGTTCATACTACCTCTCATGCCAGGGCTTCCCACAGTGTCGTTTGTCAGTGTGGTTGCCCGAGACGGTGGTCGGTGTTAACGTTAGTGAAGAGTCATGCGCCGAGGTATGTTGATGGGTTTACTGTTGATAAGTGTTTACATAAAACATATTGACAGTTCATTGTTACAGTTTTCTTAGTGAGCCCAAGAAGGGCAACTAGAAATATATTTAGAAAGTCTTCATTCCATTATAATTGATAGCTTAGTCTACACTTTAGTTGATGACTGATATTGTTTTATAGTGCACATTGTACCATCTTTCCATTTTCTTCAATTAACGTTGGCAAAAAATCCCAGTTCCATGCAAATTTAACGCTTGCTAAAGATTATAATTTCAATCTTCAATTATTTTGGTAGATGTGATAACAATAGATGAGTTCCTTTATTATCAGCATTAGCAGCCTCCCTAATAACATTAATATTGTGTCAGTTTAGCCTTATACTTGCTGAACCACCTACAATTGACCTTACATGTTTCTTCACAAACACTTGCACACAATTACTTCTTCAAATCTTTCAAAAACACTACAAGGTTTCTCCTGGTTGAGTATAAGACTGATTGAAAAATCCATTCAAATCAGAAATAATAATGCCTTTATTTTTATTATGACTATAATGCTGAACCCTTCACTTACTTGAAAATTCTGACTTTCTCCTTGATAATAATCTAAGTTGTAGACGGTGAGTGAGAATAACGTGGCTGAAGATATGAGGACCAAGCCATACATCAGAAAATGGTGAAATAACATTTTAGTCCATCCTGGACCATCATCAAGTTGTGTAATAGAAGAGAGGAACGGACAGGCAAATAAATTCCTATTCTATGAGTGGAATGAATGCCTTTCATCCTATTCTAAGAATAAGATGAAAGACATTCTTACCTTTCATCTTATTTTTACCTTTTTTTCTCTTACCTGTTCCTCACCTCTCATTTCACTCTCTTATCATATATATTTGCCTGTCCGTTCCTTTCTTCTACTACAAGACAATAATGAGCCAGGACGGACCAAAAAAATTTGTTGTTTCTTTAATTTCTGATGTGTGATTTGGTCACCAATCAAAATTGTCAAACGATTAAGTCCATTAAAAATGGTGATCTGTGATAGGATTTCTATTTTCTCTAAATTCCTGTTTACTTTTCTTAGTGACTGGTTCAATGCCAGCATTACTTTTCCTCTTCACATCAGCCATTATTTCCATTATTCCTCACATTTTGTATATTTATATTTTACTTTCGAAATATGCACAAATTATGTGTTCTGAAACCTTACCAAGGAGGTGATTTTTACATAAGATGTGGCCCAATAAAAGTGGAAAAGTGGTAAATAAGATCAATGAAAAGAATTATTATTTTGTAAGGATCGGGAAGAAATTGTTGAATTCATGTAAGATGTCATTGCGATATTACCTGCAGTATTTGCTTGTCTCTACACACCATTACAAAATGTGTATCTAAACTTTAGCTTTTATTTCCTGCAGTGCGCTGGTTCGCCTAAGAAACTTCAGTTCAAGTTCCGGCCTCGGTCCTACATGCCGTATATCCCCGACGAGTACGAGACGTGCCTCGGGGGATGTGACCAACAGTTCCTAGACACTTTGGATATCAGAGCCTTAATTTCAAGAGGGCAAGGTGGGTTTTTTCTGGGCCTCATGTTTAACTTTTTCATGGCTAGCCACTTCAGTACTTGCCCTGAGCTTATGACATTGGCACACAATAGACATGCTGGTTATACCATGGGTCTCATGACTTCTCTCTGTCCTTAACTTTTAAATGGCTTGGTTAATTAAAAGTTGCATATCGTGGTGTGCGTGACAAAAAATACTTCACTAAATTAATGTAAAAAAATAACGACATTATGCAATTTGAGCACAGGAGATACAGCAATTGCATTTAGTCATTGGAGTTGTTAAAGGGTTAAAGGGCAAGCAACTGTTATGCCCTCCTCCCCCTCTCTTCCCAACTGGGGGCTGGAGGAGTGTCAACAAACTGCCAAGGTGAAACACCCACTTGTTCGCTTTTTGCAAAACTCAGGTTCTCATAAGGGGCATCGGCCGTTTCACTGTTCATCCCATTGACGGAGCAATGGGAGATAGGCTTGCTCTGTTCGCTCATGCCTGGCCCCATGATTTGTGGGTGTTTCGGGTCATTTCCAACGGCTTGCAGTGGCATTGGGTGATCCCGCCTCCTTTGGGGGTTTCGGGGCTCGAGGGGCAGGCCTCTTCTCCTGCACTCTGTCGGGGCATCTCAGAGTGGGTACGCTTGGGCGTGGTTGAAACGACGACGTCCCTCAGATGGGTTTCCCGTTTGTTCCCAGTTCCAAAATGGGACTGTATGAACCTGTGGTTCGTTCTGGACTTGTCCAATCTCAACCCCTGGGTTCATTGCCACTCCTATTGGATGACTACTCTGTCCCAGGTCTGGCTTCTGTTGGAGCCGGGCGCTTGGATGGTGTCCCTGGATCTACAAGACACATATTGGCACGTCCCGATTCATCCGGGGTTCAGGGACTGGCTCGGTTTTATTGTGGAGCGTATCGATTACCACTTTGGTTGCCTCCCATTCGGATTGAACCTGGCGCCTCGTGTTTTCACACGCTTTACCAGGGTCATGGTGGCCCGTCTGCATCTTTTAGGTGTTCGGGTGTTGCCCTACTTCAACGACTAGATGGTCTGGGCTCCCAGCCGGTCTGTTTGTCTGCTCACCAGGAATTTGGTTCTTTCCTAGCTCGCCAGGCTCGGGCTCTTGGTGAACTGGAGGAAGTCCCATTTGGTTCCCTCCCAGGTTCGGATTTGGCTGGGTCTTGTTTGGGATTCTTGGACCGCTTCCTTGTCTTTCCCACCGGAGTCTCTCCTTCGGCTGCAGTACCACCTTTGCCTATTTCTGGGGGCTCCCAGGTCACTCGGAGGTTGCTCGGGGGTTTGTGCGGGAGCTTGAATTTTGCCTTGGTCTATCCGCTGGGTCGGGTTTGGCTTTGTTGGCTGTTCTGGTTTCTTCGGAGCCATCCCTTCCACCTCTCTCACGATCGCTGGGTTTGACCTCCGGGGGCCTTGCGTCGGTTGCTGTGTCACCGGCTTCCTCTTCGGGTTTTCTGTGGGGAGCCCCTACGGCTCCCTGGAGCTTATCGGGCTAATGTATGTTATATTAGACCGGGACATTAGCTAAGGAGTTCAGACCTACCAGGGACCAGCGCCAGGACCTGGCCCCTTCAGAGAGGTTTCAGGGAGTAATGGCACTGGAAAATTCTCTTGTGGTTGGGGTTTTCCTTATCTGCCATCGACCGGGGTCAGGCACCCAGAAAGGTAGGCGTGACAAAACAAACCCACATGGTAAAAACTAAAACAAAAAACCGAACAGAGAGGTAGAAACTCCCTACAATCCCAAGCAAACAAGCAAACATCACTCTTTACTGCTGCACCGATCGTCCGCGCAGCCCTCCCCGCCCCGAGAGGGGGAGGGGGGAGCCCCGGACCTACCGCGCCGGCTGCCAAGCTTCAACCAACACGAAAAAACCGCCGACCGGCGGGAGGGAGGGTTGCCAGGGAGCCTCTGGGGCTCACCCAGAAAATGGCATTTCATTACATTCAACACTGGTTTTCTGTGGGGAGCCCCTACAGCTCCCTGGAGCTTCATACCCAAAGAGAAGGAAAAGAAAGGGCTAACCCGGGAGGCGGCCGCCACAAACTCCGCAACGCGAAGCCGAGACAACAGGATGCAACCTGCGACCGAAGGCAACAAGAACGCACAGCAGCAGACGCGCATAAAGAATGGGCGGCCAAGAACCTGTGCGACCTTCAATCCCCTGCGCCCAAAATGAGCCCTAGACGTCACTAACACAGCAGCAAAAGCTGCAAGCGTCCGAACAGCACGGGCGCAAAGACAGACCGCAGGCTGGAAGACTGAAAAACTCTGCGGACGACCTGGGAGACCCGTGCCCTGAAACAGGGAACAAGGGGAACCGGATCAAACCAAAGCGCATCCCCAGACACGGTACGCAGGTAACAGCAAAAAGCGCAAACGGACAACACAGGACGCACCCCCGGCCAAACTAACCAAGCATCAATAACCCAAGAACCCCTCCGGAAACCATCCGTCTCGACCGTCGCCAGGACGGAGAAAGGCTGCACACGTACAAATCTACCGCCAGTACTAATGAGCAGAAACCTGAACCAAAGGGGCTACCACAAACTGAGGAGAAGAAGAAGGCACCCTGATAAAGGACCAGGACAGTGCAGGCGACGCATGAAGAGGCCAGAGGTGAAACAAAACACGAGGAAGCGTACGAAACGGGGCAGATGTGACGCATGGTCCCGCTGTTGGTGGGCACTTTTGGTTGTCTTCCGGCCTCTGGTGGCGGCGGTGGACAGCTTCTTCCCCTTTGGAGGGTTCAGAGCTGGCGGGGTGGGCTTCTTCCCCAGCGCTTCGTCATGTCATCTTAGTGGGTGTGTTGGACGTGGTCGATCCGCCCCATCCTTCTGGGGGGTTCCCGTCTGCTCTTTGCAGACATGGGCCTGTCGAATCTACAGTTCTTCTGGACTTCTTCAGTCTGCGCCCTGGATTCTATGCCTTCATCGGAGGACTGTTCTCTCCTGTCCGGCTTCTGTTGGGGCCGGATGCCTGGATGGTGGCCCTGGACCTCCAGGTCAATTCTTGGCACGTTCTTCTCCAGTTTTCTGGAACTGGCACATTTGGTGGTGGGGCTTCAGGCTTGCCGCTTTTGTTGCCTTCCCTATTTTGTAATTGGCACTTGGTGTATTTTGCATCTTTACCGGATCTTGGTGCCCTGTCTGAGTCTGTTTGGGATTCGGTGTCTGGCCTACCTCGATGACTGGCTGGTGTGGGCTCCCAGTCGGTCCGCTTGTCTGCTCACCATGGGTGTGGTTCTTTCCAGATCGCTGGGTTTGGTTTCCTGGTGATCTGGAGGCCATTCCATCTGTTTTCGTCCCGGGTTCGGCCCTGGCTGGGCCTTGTTTAGGGCTCTTGGGCCGCTCCTTGTCTTTCCCTCCAGAAGTGTTGCTGCGGCTGTGGTCCCGCCTTCGGCTGTTCATGAGGGGGTCCTGGGTTGCTCAGCGGGTGCTCGACCAGTTGTGCGGGAGTCTGAACTTTGATGTGCTGGTCTGCTCGCGGGGTCGGGTTTGGCTTCGGCATCTGTTTGGTTCCTTCGGAGACTCCCCTTTCGCTTCTCTTGCAATCGTTGGGTTTGTTCCTCCGGGGATCTTGTGTTGGTGCTGCGTCACCAGCTTCCCTTTGGGGTTTTCGGGGTACCGTGCCTTGGCACCTCCCCCAGCCTTGGCTCGATGTGTTCACGGACGTGTCATCTCTCGGTTGGGGCTTTGTGACCAGTGCTCATCAGGTCGGCCGGGGATGGTAGGGTCTGTCCGTCCGTCGGGCTCACAGCACGGTTCGGGAGTTCGTGGCTGTTTGGTTTGCACTTCGGAGGGTTTGGGTCACTCGGTGCTCTACCATTCAGCTCCATTCAGACTGTTCTCTGGCGGTTCTTTGCTGGAACCACAGGGTTTCTCTTAGGTGTTGACCTTTGGGGTTGGTTCCTTAGAGTGGCTCGTTTGCTGGATTCTCGGGGTTTGGCTAACAGTGAGGTTCATGTCCGGGGTGTGTCCTGTGTCCTGGCGGACAGCTGTCTCGGTTCATTCCTCTGTTCGCGGATTGGCCAGTCGTTGCTGACTCGTTTCGTTGGCTCTGCCGGATGTATGGACTCCTGGCCATGGACGTCTTCGAGTCGGCGTGGTCTAGGCGTCACCTATTTTATGTGGCGCCCTTACTCGCCTGCGAGGCGTTCACGGTGGATGCCTTTTGGCAGGACTGGTCGAGGTGGGGGTACCTGTTCCTTTTCTCCCAGTCCAGCTGTTGCTTCGGGTTCTGGCTCGGTTGGAGCCCATTTCCATGAGAGTAGTCCTTATGGTTCCTTGGTGGCCGGCCCAGCTATATTTTCAGATGCTGCTTGATAGGTGTCCAAACCCAAGGCGTTTTCCCGCGGCTCCGCCTCTTTTGGCAGGTCGGATCGGTCTTGGTCGTGACTGGTTCGGCCTTCTCCTCGGCTCTTCACGTCTGGTATTTTGACGCGGGTATCACCATCTCTGTGGTGATCAGGTGGCTTTGTTGACGGTGTCCCACCTGCGAGCTTCGTCTTGGCGACAGTATGATGTTCCTGGTGTTTTTATGCCTTTTTTTGTTGCTCTTCATAGGTTGTCTTCTCTTTCACATCGGGTTGTCTTGTCCTTTCTTGGGTTCTCAGGACTACAGTTATTTGATGTTTCTTACTGTCGCCTCGTTTTGTGCGGCGCTGGCGGAGCTGCTCCGGCTTGCGTTCGGGGTGGACGTCACATCTGCCCCGTTTCGTACGCTTCCTCGTGTTTTGTTTCACCTCCGGCCTGCTCATGCGTCGCCTGAGCCGTCCTGGTCCTTGATCAGGGTGCCTTCTTATCTTCTCCTCAGTTTGTGGTAGCCCCTTCGGTTCAAGTTTCTGCTCTTTGGTACTTGTGGTAGGTCTGTACGTTTGCAGCCTTTCTCCGTCCTGACGACGGTCGAGACGGCTGCTATCCAGAGGGGTTCTTTTGTTATTGATGCTTGATTGGTTTGGCTGGGGGTGCTTCCTGTGTTGTCCGGTTGCGCTTTTTTGCCGTTACCTGCGTACTGTGTCTGGGGATGCGCTTGGGTTGATCCGGTTCCCCTCGTTCCCTGTTTCAGGGCTCGGCTCTCCCAGGTCGTCCGCAGAGTTTTTCAGTTTTCTATCCTGCGGTCTGCCCTTGCGCCTGTACTGTTCGGACATTTGCAGATTTTGCTGCTATGTTGGTAACCTCTAGGGCTCATTTCGGGCACAGGGATTTGAGGGTCGCACAGGTTCTTGGCCGCCCATTCTTTATGTGCGTCTGCTCCTGTGCGTTCTTGTTGCCTTGGGTCGCAGGTTGCAGCCTGTTGTCTCGGCTTTGCGCTGCGGAGTTTGTGGCGGCCGCCTCCCGGGTTAGCCCTTTCTTTTCCTTCTCTCTGGGTATGAAGCTCCAGGGAGCCATAGGGGCTCCCCACAGAAAACCAGCGTTGAATGTGATGAAGCGCCATTTTCTGGGTGAGCCCCAGAGGCTCCCTGGCAACCCTCTCTCCTACCGGTTGGCGATTTTTTCGCGTTGGCTGAAGCTTAGCTTCCGAACTGATGCTAGGCAGCCGGCACGGTAGTTCCGGGGCTCCCCCCTTCCCCTCTCGAGGCGGGGAGGGCTGCGTGGAGAATCGGCGCTGCAGTAAAGTGTGATGTTTGCTTGTTTCCTTGGGATTGTAGGGAGTTTCTACCTCTCTGTTCGTTTTTTTTTTTTTTTAGTTTTTTACCATTTGGGGTTTGTTTTGTTATGCCTACCTTTCTGGGTGCCTAACCCCGGTCAATGGCAGATAAGAAAAACCCCACCCACATGGGGGTTTTCCGGGGCTATTGCTCCCTGAAACCTCTCTAAAGGGACCAAGTTCTGGCGCTGGTCCCTGGTAGGTCTGGACTCCTTAGCTAATGTCCCGGTCTAATATAACATACATTAGCCCAATAAGCTCCAGGGAGCCTCCAGGGCTCATCCAGAAAATGTCATTTCATTACATTCAACGCTGGTTTTTTCCACTTTGTCTCGAGACACCTCTATGTTCTCTGTGGTGGTCTCTGAAATTTGCATTATATCTGGTTCTCTGAAAACCTCATTTTGCACGAACATACTTTGCAACTGTTCATTTAGTGTTTTGCGCATTTCTTTTTCATTTTCTGTTAATCTGTTCCCCATTCTCAGTCTCTGGATTTTATCATTTTCATGCAGCTTGCTTTTAGTGAATTTATAGAAAAGTGTATGTAGAATTCATTCTGCCAGTTCCATTACCTTGCATATTTTCCTGCTGGTTACCTTTTCTGGGAGGCCATTTTCCTGTTCACAACTTTCTATAGTGTTCTGTGCATTTCACATAAAATTGTGGGCAGTAAAAGTCATACATTTCTTTCTTTCAAGTGAGGTTTTGCACATGTCAGATGGAAATTACCAGCATGTTGGTCCAAAACTACATTTCCTTTCCTAAGTAAATATAAGCATTTCCTGGGATGGGGGTTAACTGCATTCTGTTTCCTTTCTATTTCCAGTATGTCTACAGTATATCTGCAAAATCCCCTGGCATAATATTTGCACATGTTTGCCTTGTCAGTCTGTCTGTCTCTTGTCAAGTTTTGTAGGGATGTCTGCACTGTTTGACCTGTCTCTTACTCTGTTTCTTTTTGCTGTCATTGTTATCTATATGTATTGATGATCTGTTGCAGAGAGGGTATCTGTATGATGTGTTGCAGAGAGGGTATCTGTATGACGTGTTGCAGAGAGGGTATCTGTATGACGTGTTGCAGAGGGTATCTGTATGATGTGTTGCAGAGAGGGTATCTGTATGATGTGTTGCAGAGAGGGTATCTGTATGATGTGTTGCAGAGAGGGTATCTGTATGACGTGTTGCAGAGAGGGTATCTGTATGACGTGTTGCAGAGGGTATCTGTATGATGTGTTGCAGAGAGGGTATCTGTATGATGTGTTGCAGAGAGGGTATCTGTATGATGTGTTGCAGAGAGGGTATCTGTATGATGTGTTGCAGAGGGTATCTGTATGATGTGTTGCAGAGAGGGTATCTGTATGATGTGTTGCAGAGAGGGTATCTGTATGATGTGTTGCAGAGGGTATCTGTATGATGTGTTGCAGAGAGGGTATCTGTATGATGTGTTGCAGAGAGGGTATCTGTATGATGTGTTGCAGAGAGGGTATCTGTATGATGTGTTGCAGAGAGGGTATCTGTATGATGTGTTGCAGAGGGTATCTGTATGATGTGTTGCAGAGAGGGTATCTGTATGATGTGTTGCAGAGAGGGTATCTGTATGATGTGTTGCAGAGAGGGTATCTGTATGACGTGTTGTAGAGATGGTATCTGTATGACGTGTTGCAGAGAGGGTATCTGTATGATGTGTTGCAGAGAGGGTATCTGTATGATGTGTTGCAGAGAGGGTATCTGTATGATGTGTTGCAGAGAGGGTATCTGTATGATGTGTTGCAGAGGGTATCTATATGATGTGTTGCAGAGAGGGTATCTGTATGATGTGTTGCAGAGAGGGTATCTGTATGATGTGTTGCAGAGAGGGTATCTGTATGATGTGTTGCAGAGAGGGTATCTGTTTGATGTGTTGCAGAGAGGGTATCTGTATGATGTGTTGCAGAGAGGGTATCTGTATGATGTGTTGCAGAGGGTATCTGTATGATGTGTTGCAGAGAGGGTATCTGTATGATGTGTTGCAGAGAGGGTATCTGTATGATGTGTTGCAGAGGGTATCTGTATGATGTGTTGCAGAGAGGGTATCTGTATGATGTGTTGCAGAGAGGGTATCTGTATGACGTGTTGCAGAGAGGGTATCTGTATGACGTGTTGCAGAGGGTATCTGTATGATGTGTTGCAGAGAGGGTATCTGTATGATGTGTTGCAGACAGGGTATCTGTATGATGTGTTGCAGAGAGGGTATCTGTATGATGTGTTGCAGAGGGTATCTGTATGATGTGTTGCAGAGAGGGTATCTGTATGATGTGTTGCAGAGAGGGTATCTGTATGATGTGTTGCAGAGAGGGTATCTGTATGATGTGTTGCAGAGAGGGTATCTGTATGATGTGTTGCAGAGAGGGTATCTGTATGACGTGTTGCAGAGAGGGTATCTGTATGATGTGTTGCAGAGAGGGTATCTGTATGATGTGTTGCAGAGGGTATCTGTATGATGTGTTGCAGAGAGGGTATCTGTATGATGTGTTGCAGAGGGTATCTGTATGATGTGGTGCAGAGAGGGTATCTGTATGATGTGTTGCAGAGGGTATCTGTATGATGTGTTGCAGAGAGGGTATCTGTATGACGTGTTGCAGAGATGGTATCTGTATGACGTGTTGCAGAGAGGGTATCTGCATGACGTGTTGCAGAGAGGGTATCTGTATGACGTGTTGCAGAGGGTATCTGTATGACGTGTTGCAGAGAGGGTATCTGTATGACGTGTTGCAGAGAGGGTATCTGTATGATGTGTTGCAGAGATGGTATCTGTATGATGTGTTGCAGAGATGATATCTGTATGATGTGTTGCAGAGATGGTATCTGTATGATGTGTTGCAGAGAGGGTATCTGTATGATGTGTTGCAGAGAGGGTATCTGTATGATGTGTTGCAGAGATGGTATCTGTATGATGTGTTGCAGAGAGGGTATCTGTATGACGTGTTGCAGAGAGGGTATCTGTATGATGTGTTGCAGAGAGGGTATCTGTATGATGTGTTGCAGAGGGTATCTGTATGATGTGTTGCAGAGAGGGTATCTGTATGACGTGTTGCAGAGAGGGTATCTGTATGACGTGTTGCAGAGAGGGTATCTGTATGATGTGTTGCAGAGGGTATCTGTATGATGTGTTGCAGAGAGGGTATCTGTATGACATGTTGCAGAGAGGGTATCTGTATGATGTGTTGCAGAGAGGGTATCTGTATGATGTGCTGCAGAGAGGGTATCTGTATGATGTGTTGCAGAGAGGGTATCTGTATGATGTGTTGCAGAGAGGGTATCTGTATGATGTGTTGCAGAGGGTATCTGTATGATGTGTTGCAGAGAGGGTATCTGTATGATGTGTTGCAGAGAGGGTATCTGTATGATGTGTTGCAGAGAGGGTATCTGTATGATGTGTTGCAGAGAGGGTATCTGTATGATGTGTTGCAGAGAGGGTATCTGTATGATGTGTTGCAGAGAGGGTATCTGTATGATGTGTTGCAGAGAGGGTATCTGTATGATGTGTTGCAGAGAGGGTATCTGTATGACGTGTTGCAGAGAGGGTATCTGTATGATGTGTTGCAGAGAGGGTATCTGTATGATGTGTTGCAGAGATGGTATCTGTATGATGTGTTGCAGAGATGGTATCTGTATGATGTGTTGCAGAGAGGGTATCTGTATGATGTGTTGCAGAGATGGTATCTGTATGATGTGTTGCAGAGAGGGTATCTGTATGACGTGTTGCAGAGATGGTATCTGTATGATGTGTTGCAGAGAGGGTATCTGTATGATGTTGCAGAGAGGGTATCTGTATGATGTGTTGCAGAGAGGGTATCTGTATCATGTTTTGCAGAGAGGGTATCTGTATGATGTGTTGCAGAGAGGGTATCTGTATGATGTGTTGCAGAGAGGGTATCTATGATATGTTGCAGAGAGGGTATCTGTATGATATGTTGCAGAGAGGGTATCTGTATGATGTGTTGCAGAGAGGGTATCTATAATGTTTTGCAGAGAGGGTATCTATAATGTTTTGCAGAGAGGGTATCTGTATGATGTGTTGCAGAGAGGGCATCTGTATGATGTGTTGCAGAGATGGTATCTGTATGATGTGTTGCAGAGAGGGTATCTATAATGTTTTGCAGAGAGGGTATCTGTATGATGTGTTGTGGAGAGGTTATCTATATGATATATGTTGCAGAGAGGTATTTGTAAGATGCTCTGTTACAAAGGTATTGTACAGCATAATATTTGTGGCAAAACAAAACATAAAAGGGAAAATGTGATTGGTTTATCTTTATAGGAAGTGGGCAGTCACACCAGAACAGATCTTCGAATGCTTCGACGGACAGTGGCTACTCCTCTGCTTCCATGTCCACTATTTCTAACTCTAATCAGCAAAGAATCATCTTTAGTCAACAAAGAGGCAACACTTCCAGTGCACATTCAAACAGGACCACCAATACTCATAACAACAATAGCAACAGAAATGGGAGCCTAAGTTTCAGCACAGCAAACAGAGACTCTGGCGTGCGTGGAAGAGGACACAGTAATGCTTCAAACAGCGAGAGTGGAAGAAGTACCCGGGACTCTGGCTTCTCCGCTTTTGGGTCTTCACAGTCAACTCCCCGTTTATCGTGGAATGGTAATAGAAGTGAGAATCAAGCGAATGCAATCGTTTGCAACTGCAACGAAGATGCCATTATTCTCACTGTTCGGAAAGAAGGCCCAAATACAGGTGAGTATTTATACACGATTTGTAGTTTATGCCAAGAGGTGATATGAAGGATGTCGAACAGTAGCAGACATTTGGGATGTCATTTCTGGGGGAAGCCCCTTGTGGGTCCCTGAAGCTACTACACTGATACAGTCCCATACTACTAGGTGCCATTAGTAGTGAAGTTCCTATTGGCCTACCAGGGACCATGAGCTAGAACTCTGTGACTGATGACACCTAGTAATATGGCACTGTATGAGTGTAGTAGCTTCAGAGAGCCACTGGGGCTCACCCAGTAATTGATGTTTCTTTACATTCAATGCTTCTTTTCTGTGGGGAGCCTCCCTTCGGCTCCCTGGAGCTATCAGAATGATATACAATATATTAGTCTGGGGCATCAGTCAATTGGAGTTCAGCCTACTGGGGACCACAACCCAGAACCTGCCCCCCCCCCCCCCCTCAGAGAGGCACAGGGAGCAATGACCTATGGCAACGCCCCATGTGGTTAGGAGCATTCCATGTCTACCATCAACTGGGGTTAGGCACCCAGAAAGGTAGGCATAACAGAATGGACCCCACTTGGTAAGAAACTGCAACCGAAGGCCAAACAGTGAGGCAGAACTCCCCAAAGTCTAAAGAAACAAGCAAACAAGCAAATCTCATACACCGCCACCACGCTGCTCGTCCGCGCAGCCCTCCATCCCCTCCCCGGTAGGGGGAGGAGGGAGCAACCTGTCCTCTTAAAAAGAACGTCGCTTTTGGCCATTTGCCCATATGGCCGAATATGGACGTAATTTGAACATGAAAAAAAATGAAAATAAATTTGGGAATTTTTTTTTCAACAACAGTAAGTTAACACTTTCGCCCGGGCATGACGCAGCATTGCGTCATCCGTTTACTGGTGGTAATGCCGGGGATGACGCAGCATTGCGTCATCCACTTTAAATAATCGCCAAAAATCAGGTTTTTATCCTATTTTTTTGGGACTGGTTTTAAAATGCGCGCCGATGTCTTCCCATTTTCTTTGTTGAGCCTCGTGGCCCTCAGGCGGCTTGACACACGCTGTGGGCCCATTGTTTTCGCTCCACTGTTGTGACCAATGTTGCCTCCCCTCACATCTCAAACGTGTGAACATTTCGGCTATTTTCCGTGGCTATATTTCTTACTGCGGCTTTAGAAACTATCTACGCTTACTCCACGATGGATAGTGATCATGAACAAGGCCCTTCCAGGAAGAAAATTGCGAAAGAAAGGCTTGAAAAGGGCGGGAATTGGGAGTGTAAGTGTAGCTAGAAGGCATCTGAGCTCTCACTTGCGGCTAACGCGTGGCCCGTCTTCAACTCGTCGGCGGTTGGAGCGTGACCAGGTTTTTTATTTTATATGCTAATGTTCCTATAGAGAATTCTATTGCGAACCCATTGAGACCAAAATGAAAGACCTAGGACGAAAATTGAGGTGACCAGAGTGAAAATAGTGAAAACATTTTATCGCGTTTGCGTGCTCCTGGGTAACTCGTTCGCACTTTCTCTGTTTGCTGCGGGTAATTAGCCGGGCTTTTGGAGTTTATATGCATTTAGTGCTGTAGAGAATTTTATTGCGAACACAATGATACAAAATTTAATCTCGTAGGACGAGAATTAAGGTGACAAAGTTGAAGAGAGTATACACTTTTCAGAATTTATGCGCGCTCCCGTGACACCCTGGGTCCCATATCGCACAGTTGAGGGGTGGTGGGCGGGGTGCGCGAAAGTGTTAAGGTTGTCTGATAGGTTAGGTGGGCAGGAAATTCTCATAAAGTTTCAAAACCGTATGAAAAACGTTAATGGAAAGTTTTCTCTTCTAAACTTGCCGAGTAAGCCGGATGACTCAAACAGAAAACGAAACAGTATGTCACTTTTGTGAGTCGATTTCATTTCAAATTATGTCCAAATTTGGCCATAGCGTGCATACGAGCCAAAAGTGACGTTATTTTTAAGAGGACAGGTTGGAGGGAGACCCGGACCCCCTGCACCAGCTACTCACACCTCTAGTTTGTTGGATGATGCGATCTGTGGCGAATGTCAACTCTGACCTCAATTTCTTGGCAGTCTTTGTGCCTTTGTGGTGTTTTCTGCTCCTTGTGGTGCAGTGGCCAGGTATAACTGCAGAGTACTAGGGCTGCATGCACTTAGGGTTATCTTCCCTAGGCGCCCTATAAGTGCTGCCCTTGGGTTCTAAGGTTACCTTCCATAGAGCCCTCGGGATTCCACTTCCGTAGGGGTTCTTAATGCTCGGTATTTACCCTGCTCTTGGGACCAGCTGGGGTCTCATGACCTTTGTTTGACCTTGGGTAAGAAGTGGTGGTGTTGCTGGTTGGGGCGCAAGATACTGTGCTGCCTGCTGACCTACACGGCGGCGGTCATCTTGTTCCTTCTGGCGGTGGTGTACTTTTGCAAGGGTTTTCTTTTATGTTTGTTTTCATTGCCAGGTGGTGGTCTGCCTTCTTTGGTTATTAGTTCACATAGGGTACATTGACGGCCCTCCTCTAGGCCCCCCGTGCTTGTACACATCACAGGGGTCCAGTTCTTAGCTCATTCCATTGCTAGCTTTTGGATTTAACCGACTAGCAGTACCTTGCCTGGACTTCCCATAGACGACATTCCTACGGTCCCTGGAAATCCCCGTCGGGGCTCAGTTGACCGAATGATGTGTCCTCTGAGTTCCACCTCGCCTTGTGCAAGTTTGAAGGATGTTCTGTGCCCTTGTCTCAGGGTGATAGTCACCAGTTTTGTCATGCTGCCTGTTGAGTCAATGACGCCTTCAATCCAGAGTCTTGTGAGACATGTTCTCTGCTCGTGCTCCAGTTTATCCATTCTATTGCCACTGAGGTTCGGGTACAGGCAGCATTGGTGTTCCATGCCACATTTATGTTGCTGCAAACCACTAGGCTGGTTGCTCACTCAGATGCCCCAGAGCTGCCCCGTTTTTCTGGGGTGGGGGGGGGGGAGCCCCTTCGGCTCCACAGAGTTTACTAGGCTGATATGGTAATGTCAGACTTTGGCATCAGTAATGTGTATGGAGTTCTGTGGGCCTACCGGGGACCACGAGCCAGAACCTGGCCCCCTCATGGGGAAGCAATGGCCTATAGGAACCTCCATGTGGTTGGAAGCATTCTATGTCTGCCATTGACTGGGTCAGGCACTCAGAAAGGTAAACATCCCAAAACAAACCCCTATTCTGGTGACAATATTGCTACCAAAAGATGATTAACTGGATAGAACTTGCCTAAAAGAAACGAGCAAATGAGCATGATGTCACACACCACCGCGTTGCTGTTTGCACAGCTCCGCTCCCTCTCCCTGGGAGGGGGAAAAGGGAGCCCCAGTCTCCCCGCGCCGACTATCAACCCATCAGCTCTCAGGCTTATGCTAGAGGCGGAGGTCGTGTGCTTGGCTCCAGCTTTTCCAGCACTGTGCTTTGAGTATGGCAACTGTCTTCTGGGGGTGCGAGAGTCAGGAGTTATTCTTCAGTACTCGGGCTGCATGCGCCTAGGGTTATTGTCCCTAGGTGCCCTGTAAGTACTGTACTGCCCTTGGGGCTTGGTGTTGCCTTCCACAAGTTCCTCGGGGTCTGCCCCTGCTAGGCCGTATTACTGCTCAGTTTTGGCTGCCCTTTGGGTGCTGTGCTGGGGGTTTTGTCTTCCTTGTTTACCTTAGAGTAAGAGGCAGTTTGCACTGGTGGGGCGCAGGATATTGCGCAGCTTATTTTCACCACTTAAAGCTACCGGCTCTGTCCTTGGGGCACATTGTCCTTTTGGGGTTTTTTTTTTCGCCTTGTAATGGGGTCTGCCTTGCTTCCCCCTTTTCTGGGGGGAGCACCATCTGGTTCCCGGAGCTATCCAGGCTGAATGGATATGTATAACTTTCTGGCATCAGTCAATGCATGGAGTTCTTGCCTACCAGGGACCACGAGCCAGAACCTGGCCCCCCCTCTAGAGAGGCACGAGGAGCAATGGCCTATAGAGACCCCCCTTATGATTGGGAGCATTCTATGTCTGCCATCGACTGGGACAGGCACCCAAAAAGGTAGGCGCCCCAAAACAAACCCCTATCCTGGTAAACTATTGCGACCGAAGACCGAACAGATAGACAGAACTCCCCAAACGAAAATTAGCCCTCATGACGTCATCATGTCTCCGCGCCGCTGTCTGCGCAACCCCCCCCCCCCCCTCCCCGAGAGGGGGAAGGGGGGAGCCCCAGACCCCACCGTCGGCGACCCAACCATCAGTTCTCAGGCTGATGGGATCTGGTGTGGTCGTGCCTCTGGCTCCTGTTTGCAGTTGCAGTTCTGTTCCTGGTGGTGTGAGCTGTCCCTTCCTGTTACGAACCCGGATCCAGCGTCCGAGCCTGGAGCAGTGACAACCACGCCATCTGTGGGTCAGCTCCCGAAACCCCCGCCAAACGGACGACGACACCTGGTGAGGACAGCGTGTACTGGCCTCGAGGACCAGTTTCCAGTCTGGTTCCGCGCTCAACACCGCCGCTCCTGACCTCTGGTGAGGTGGTGCTCCGACGACAGCGCCATCTATGGACTGGATACGTCAGGTGTTTGTGCCCGAGCCCGTAAGTGAGGTGTATTAGTGTCCCGGTTATTGATGACGTGTCTGCTTACAGAGCCGACCTGGGACCACTGTGATGGAAGTGGAGTCAGTCTACCCGAGGCAGCCAGTCTCCATACCTTGAACCTTGCTGCAGCTGTTGTGACGTCGTCCCCCCCGGAAGAACACTGTGGTGTGTTAGCCTGCCAGTGGAGTGGCAGTAAAAGGATTTACCCGGGACCGACTGTTGGAGACGATCATCCACTGGGATACTGAAGACAGGAGAGTGACTTGTGGTGTCACACAAAGCTCCTGTCTAGGGCGTTCCCCTTTTATCGTCCGTGGAGTGGCCGTACCAGCCTTGTGGGCTCAGAACCTGCCAGCAGACCAGCTGGACGTGTGGTTGACGGCCTCCACGGCGGTGCCCCCAGTGGACCCGTGTTTTGGCTGACCTGTGGCCAGGGTAGGCTCAACTTCTTTGGAGAATTAATTGTGAGGCCACGAAGAGAGCACCAAGGATTCGGCACCAAGAGTTGTGGCACCAGCGTCTTCAGCAGAAGACAACGATTATGGATTAATCCCCTTGTATAGTGTTAATACCCCTCCCCCTTGTGCACTCTTTTATTATATATATTTAATCGGTGATGGTGAAAATTATAATATTAAGTTCTTAGCTTTCTTTCCCTACTCCCTTTACGTTACTTGCGTCACGGATCTCATCCCTTGATAGCCACTACTGGCTTGGGAACGGATATCTATATCTGACTCTAACAACATCAGAGTGAGAACCCCGTTGCGTCCCGAGAGGGTCGTAACACTTCCGGTGGTGTGTGGGCCAGGAGTATTATTCCACGGTGCTTCGGCTGCATGCGCCTAGGGTTATCTTCCCTAGGTGCCCTGTAAGTACTGCCCTTGGGGCTTAGGGCTACCTTCCCTGGGTCGCCTTGGGGTCTACCTTCGCTGTGCTGTGTACTGCTCGGTACTTGGCCGCCCTTGGGGTCAGCTGGGGTTTTTTCTTGCCCTTGTTTGTCTCTGGGTAGGGGGATAGTTTTCATCACTGGCAGGGGCGCGGGGTACTGCACAGCTAGTTTTCACCATTAACAGCGGCCGGCTCTGTTCCGCCTGGGTACCTTGTCCTCTTGCGGGGTTTTTCTTTTGTTTTTGTTTTTTGCCTGGTGGGGGGTCTGCCTGTTTGGTCCCCCATCGCTATTCTTGGGGTTTGTCTCCAAATTGTCTACTTGGTGGTACTCCCCGCTTGGCCCCCGTGAGTGTTCACGTCCCGGGGGTTCAGCTATAGCAGTTTGTTGGTAGCTTTGGGTGCCGGTTCGCAGTACCCTGCCTGGGCTTCCCTTAGCGTGTTATCAAGGCTAAGGGCCCTGGAAAACCCCACGGGGGCTACGTGGTCCGATGGATGTGACCCCTGAGTCCCCCCTCACGTCCTGCGAGTTTGACGGTTGCTCTGTCCCCTTGTCTCAGGGGGACACTCACCGGTTTTTCTTCCGCCATGCTGCCTGTTGGGTCGGTTATTGTTTTGACCCAGAGTCGTGCGACATGTGTTGTCTGTACGTTCTCCAGTTCACCCAGGCTACTGCGCCTGATATGCAGGTGAGGGCAGCTGAGGCGTTGCATGCTCGCTTTAGGTTGCTGCAACGCGCTAGGTTGGTCGCTGCCCCGGATGCCCCGAGATTGCCCCGTTTTGGTTATAGGGACCCGGACTTTGGGGGTGGGGGTCGCTTCGGCTCTGGTTCCGTCTGCCCCTCCAAGTCCTCCCCCTTCTGTTGCTCGTTCGGTCTCCCCCCCCCCTTGCTGCCAGCTCCTAAACGTCTGAGGGTTTCAGAGCCGGGGCTGGGTTTAGTCGGTTGTGAGACTTGGGCGGTCTCGGGGGTGTCCCCTTCTGGGGCAGTGGCGGAGACTCCCGCTCTCTGGGACTCCCACTGGGAAAATGTGGAGGCATTGAGTGCCGGGCCTGATCTGGGGCGTTGACCTCGGCTGGCATCAGCCACACTGTTGAAGCTGTTTGTGCCTTTACTCCGAGAGGCGGTGTCTGTTCTTTACCACGCGCCTCATGTGCCGCCAGGCCATGTTCGCTCACTCCTTGGACTCAACTTGGGCCCGGGCTCTTCAGCTTTTGTCGCTATTTTGTCCATTACTGTTTGAGAAGTCTGCTGTCATGCAATTTCTGCAAGCGGCTTACTTCTCCGGGGGAGCTGTTCTCGGGCCTCTCAAATGGATCGTGCCAGGGCTTGGGGTTCTTTTTGTCAAGGTAGGCCCTTGTTGCCAGTTTCAGAGCTGGCGTCTTCTTTGGAGCCAGTGTTATCTGGTCAACCCGATGCTCACTTTGCTCATCGGCTGGCCTCTCGTAAGGAGCATCGGCCCTTATGTGGTTTGCCCCGTTGATGGGGTGCTGGTGGGGGGGGGGGGGGAAGGCTCGCGCTGTTTGCTCACACCCAGTCCCACGATTTGTGGGCATTTCGGGTTGAATCCTCCGGCCTGTGGTGGCATTGGGCTGCTTCTTCTCCTGCAGGGGATTCGAGGCTGGCAGGGCAGACTTCTTCCCCTACGCTCCGTCGGGTCATTTTGAAGTGGGTGCGCTTGGGCGGTGTCAAAACAACCTCAGGTGGGTATCCCGCCTGTTTTCAGTACCAAAACAGGGCTGTGCGGATCTGAGGTTCATTCTGGACTTGTTTCATCTGAAACCCTGGATTCCTTGCCCCTCACTTTCGGATGACAACTCTGTCCCAGGTCCGGGTTCTTGGATGGGGTGTCTGGACCTCTGCAACAAATATTGGCACGTCCTGAGTCATCTGGGGTTCAGGGACTGGTTAGATTTCATTGTGGGGCATCAGGATTACCGCTTTCATTGCCTTTGGCTTGAATCTGGCACCTCGTTTATTCACGCGTCTTACCCGGGTCATGGTGACCCGTCTGCATCTGCTAGTGGGTTCCTTTCCCTCCTCCCCCTCCTGGGTGAGGGCTGCGTGGCAGCGGTGTATGACGTTTGCTTGTTTGCTTCTTTCTTGAGAATTTGAGGGAGGTATGCCTCTCTGTTTGGTCTTTGATTGCAATTTCTTCCCAAGTGGGGTCTGTTTTGTTATGGGTGCCTTTCTGGGTGCCTAACCCCGATCGATGGCAGAGAGGGAATGCTCCCAATCACATGGGGGTTTCCATGGACCATTGCTCCCGGTGCCTCTCTGAGGGGGCCAGGTTCTGGCTTGTGGTCCCCGATAGGCTGAACTCCAATTGACTGATGCCCCAGACTAATATATCGTATATCAGTCCATCAGTTCCAGGGAGCCTCCGGGGCTTACCCAGAAAATGGAGTTTTTGGAAAGTGTTTTTTGGTTTTTGGAAAACCATATAGAACTATAGAACAGCATGTTGACGAACAAACTATACAATTCATGTGATAGTGATAAAGTTAGTAATGAATTTGCACAAGGTTTTCCACGAAGTTATCCCTAACACAAATTGAGGGCTTTTTGTAATATCATTCAGTTCTGTATACATATTGGTATCTGTTTATGCTGGGATAAAGGTACGAGTGACTTCACCTTATAGTGTTCTGGTTGGAGATGAAGTAAGGCCAATAGTGTCATAACGTTTACTTACTCTATAGTCCAATTGAATGTTAAATTTTATTAAGATCAAGTTGGTTGTATCTTGAATTTGGATTATGGTTTGTTGATGTAATTCCATTTAGTAAATGTGAAGTACTTTATGCAGGAATATTCCGCTAAAATGTTTTGTACTTACAGGTCGACAGTTTTATAAATGTGCCAAGCCTCAGGGTACTGGGTGCAACTTCTTTCTCTGGGCGGATGATGGAGGCAACACCGACAGAGGAGACGATAACAGAGGGGATGGAGGAGGCTGGGGAGGTGGAGGAGGCGGTGGCGGAGGAGGAGGAGGCTGGGGAGGTGGAGGAGGAGGAGGTTGGGGAGGTGGAGGAGGAGGCGGCAGAGGTGGAAGTGGTAGCAGTGGAGTAAGAGGCAGGGGGAGAGGTGTTAGTCAAAATGTGTCTTCAGGGTGGAATGGAGCTTCCAATTCTGGTAAGAACACTTGAGCATTGACTCTAACCTTTCTAAGTTGCATTTCTTGACATATTTTTCAATATCATAGATTAATTACAGTAAATCATATAATTAACAGATATATTTGATTATATTTACACCAAGTATTTTTTAGTGATTGATATTTAGTAATAACCATTTCTTGTATGACAAATAGGTAATATCAGTTACAGAATAACACTGACTTATTTTGTATGAAAATTTGCAGGTTACAAAACATAAACCAAATTCGTACTTTGCAGATTTTGACGGCGGCGATACGTGGGATGACGGTAGCATTATCTGCAACTGCACTATTGCTGCCAAGAGGTTAGCTATAGCTCAACTTTGATTTATAGGACTCATATGTGTGTGGTGTCCCATGCAAAATATTTCCCTTCATACACTTGTTGTCACTCTCTTGTTTGGAACAATATATATCATAGAAGGGAGGATTCTCTTTGAGTGTCCCCTCACTACTGTATATCATATGAAGCTTACACACTGGTGTAGTTTATGCCTCAAGGAGTGCACTTGGCCTCTTAAACCCACACTGACTTACCTGAATCCAGAACCAACTTCTGGCTCCATGTGGTGAGGGGTTAGCTTGAGAGAGATCAACCCAAAATCAAGAAAACCCAACCTGAAAGATTAGGCACAACTAAACGGGCCATTGCTTGAGGAAATCCATTACAATATGCCATTGTAAACAAGGCATATTGAACATTGGCACAAGTGTACAACACATATCTAACTGCTTGTTAGAGATAAGAGCTGGGACCAGAGAGCTACTGCTTATTTCACCTAATTGGTGTTTGCTATCCCTGGAACACAGTAGTTCCACTAGGAAACATTGCTTCATTTGTACTCCATTATTGTTTCTCACTTACCTAGTGAGAAACGTTACATCGCATGTTCCCACCCACCCACATCGCATGCTCTGTGTGGTAATTCACTCCAGCTGTGTGCCAGGGGTTATCTTTCCTGGTAGCCAGAGTGCTCCACTAGAGATACCTGCTCTGAGGAATTCGGGAGTCTTCCATTACATGTTGGCTCTTCTTGACTCGTCTTGCCTCCAGGTAACGCATGGGACTTGCCCTTCACAACAGGGCCGGCTGTTGAGGAGTTGGTGTAGTTAGCTGTGTGCTTGAGTATGCATAGTGCCTGGCCCTTATTCCTGTACATTTTGGTGACTTGTGCTTTGGTTGGGTGTGATTCTTCCTTATCTGTGGCTTAATACCCCATCCTGCACATGCAAATCAGGTTAGGATTAGGTGTGTGATTCACCAACATGCTCCTTGTGGATCTGGTATACTTGCCTGTTTGTATAATGGTGGTATCCAGTTCGTGTTGACCCATATGGTCTGTTTACCTCAACTTCACAGTTGGATGAGAAATCTTGGATTTTCAAACTGATTCAGTTCCAGATTTTGCTGCTTGCCTCTTTCAGGATAAAATTTGATGTTTTTGAACTCTGATGACCAATCCTGCATCCTCCATCATTCAGCCTGTTCGGTTCAGGTGTCTTTTCCAAACCCTGGTGTGTACCATTTATCACTGTTGAAGTCACTACTGTTGTTTGTGCAGTGCTTTATCAGGCCGCAGCCTTGTTGCATGAACATGTCTCACAATACAAGCTAGTCTCTTTGTGCCACTGTGCCTTGTGATACAGGCTACTGCAGCCCTTGCCTGATATGGCTGGTGATGAATTTCCTGTTCTTTATATGGAAATTTGAGCTCTAGTTTTTTTTATGCATGCCAAGTTTCAGTCTGCCTCCTCTTTTGCTTCTACTGTGGTAGTCAAGCAGCCAGTTTGTTGGGTGCCTGTTTTCTACAGACTTTCCCAGTAGCATGGGCTCCTAAGCAGCTTTGGCCAGAGGATCCAGAGTTATCAAGTGGCCGGCCAAAGCAGCACCTGGGGCTGCCCCCACCAGAGATTTTACATGGACATTGAAGCCTGCTATCCTTCCCATGTCCCCTTTGTTTCTGTAGAATGTGCCTGGGGGTTCTTCTTCAAGGGAATTGGAGACATCACAGGCTGGCAGGCAACCCATTATATTCTTTAGACAAGTGGCAGCTTGTCTGTAGGACACACACTTGACTCAAAGGAAGTCGCCCCAGGTTTATGCTCTGATTTATTGTTCTCATTTATAGAAATTGTCTGTATTTGGATATAATACAATTTAATGTTATTTTAAGTTTTTACATCATGGGTCTTAATCATTATTTACAGATTAACAGTGCAGAAGGAAGGGCCAAACAAAGGCAGAGAGTTCTACGTGTGCAGCAAGGATCGCAGTGAGCAGTGCCGCTTCTTTAAGTGGGCTGATGAAATATCAGAAAGTGACAGAGGAGGTGGCAGTGGAAGCAATGCATGGAGTAATGGTATGTCCTGGTTTAGTTCTGGAGGACTAGAAATCTTTGTAGCAAGGTAGGGCAAGGGGGTCAAATCTTCCAAAGGGACACATTGTACAGCTGGGAAAGCAAATTTGTTTACTTGGGAACAAGTCATCTGTTATTTGTGGAAAAATTGAGTAAACTAATATACAAAATTTCTCTCTAAATGAAAAGTGCAATTATCTTCATCTTACCCCATTTTCATTTTTACACAGTGTGAAACCATTACCCTAAGAGAAAAATAGGAGAGTAATATAGGGTATGATTACTAAGAATATTCAGAGGAAAAGACCTTTATTCTACACCAACCAACATCACATAATCAGTACCATCACACTCAAACAATTCCATTTTCTGTGGGGAGCTCTGGAGGCTTCCTGAAACTATCCAAAGTGACATGTGCTATATTAGTTTGGGGTCATCAGTCTCCACAGTCCTTTTGCCTACCAGGTACCATAAACCAGAACCTGGTCCCCTCAGAGAGGCACAAGGCCTATGAACACTTTACATTTAAAGTATGTCATAATTGCCATCGACTGGGAAAGCACCCAGAAAGATGGGCAAAACAAAACAGACCACAATCTGGTGAAAATTGCAACCTACGTCCAAAAAGAGCAAAACAACTCCCTCCATGAAGAAAACAAACAAGCAACACTTCATGCAATTAGCACTCCCACTCATTAGTACAACCTCCCACCCTCCCCAAAGGGGGGGGGGGGGATCTGTGGCTCCATTGGGTACTCAGCTTCCACCTGTATCTCCTGCATATACCACCCGTCTTGATTCCTCCATCCTTTTCTTCCCTTTCCGTTCCCCTGAGGAATTGTGGGTGGTGGTCTTGTCTCCCGGTCTTGTGTTCCCGGGGCAGTCTTGTCTTGTGTACGTGACTGTGAAAATTGCTTTGTGGAGCTTTGTGGCCAGTGCTCACCAGTGGTGAGCACTGGCACACCTACTGGACTAGTCACAATAGGGGTTCCTGTATCTCTTTCCCTCGATCCCGGTATTGCTCTGGGTTCTGGATTGGCTCGAATCCTATCAGGGAAGGGTGATTTCCCCGGCTCCATGGTGCCGGTCCAGCCTTGGTTTCAGGCACTGCCTCTTTCAGCAGGTCGAGCCTGTGTGGTACCTTGCTGGTTCGCCTTACTGCTCCGCACTACGCATCTGGCATTTTTAACTCGTGTATCACCATTTGTATGGTGATCAGGTTGCTTCTTTGATGGTGTCCCACCTGCTTTCTTTGTCTCAGCGACAGTATGAAGTTTATTGGCGGACTTTCCACTATTTCCTTTCCCTTTCCTTTCGTAGGATTTCATTAGTGTCGGTTAAGGTTGTCTTGTCATTTCTCTCTTGGCTTTTTCTTGACCAGCATCTTATGACAAATACTGTCACTTCTTATCGTGAGCCATTGGTGGAGCCTCTGCAGCTTGCGTTTGAGGGGTATGTTACTTCTACTCTGTTCTGCATTTTTCATCTCCAGCCTGCCCATGCGTCGCCTGAACCGTCCCGGTCTTTGGACCGGGTTCTTTCTTTTCTCTCTCTTCTTCTCAGTTTGTTGTAACCCCTATGGTTTGTGACTGCTTTTGGAAAGCCTTGTTTTTGTTGGATTTGGCCTCAGGGGGTCGAGTTGGGAAGCTTCTTGCTCTTCACGGCACCAGAGGTTCTGTTCGTTTTGTCCTGGTGGTCATTTTGTTCATTTGCAGCCTTCTTTTCTGGTGAAGAATGAGATGATGAGCTTCCAGAGGGGCCCATTGGTTGTGGATGCTTGGTTGGTTCAGCCGGGGTTGCATCACATGTTGTGTCTGGTGGCGGCTTTATAGGGTGGTTTCCACCCTATAATGCAATAGATACAAGGGTGGGAGGTGGGGCATACATGCTTGATACTTGCTTATTGGGGTTCTGGGAGTTCTTCTACTCCCCAAGCAGCTAGTACTCGCATGACTTGTGAAAGTTTGGTCCACTAGGCTGTTGCTTGGAGCAGCCCACAGGCCCACATATCCATCACAGCCCAGTTGATCCGGCACTCCTTGGAGAAAATTATTTAGTGTTCTAAATAATGTCTAAAGATGTCTACAGTTATTTTGGCAATATTTCTTATACTCACTGGGAGGATGTTGAACAATCATGGAATTTTGATGTTTATACAGTGTTCTCCGATTGTGCTTATAGCACCCTGGCTCTTCACTGGTTATGATCTGCATTTTCTTCCATGTCGTTCATTCCAGTATACCTGTATTGTTATTTTACTGTGTAAATTTGGGACCTGGCCCTCCAGTATTTTCCATGTGTATATTATTTGATATCTCATGAGCAAGTTCTCACTCAGCTTACTCACTGTTAGATCAGTACTGATAGATAAGTACAACCGCTTCTTTATTTTTTTAGGGGGAGCCCCTTGTGACTTCCTGTAGCCTAGCATCACCGGTGAATGTTATCTACTAGGTGACATTAGTCGTGGAGTTTTCAGGCCTAACACAGAGACCAGAGCCAGAACCTGGTCCCTTCACAGAGGTGCAGGGAGGAGTGGCATTTATATATATTAAGTTATTCATGTGTGCCACCACCAAGAAAAGCACCCAGAAAGTCAATGAGACAAAACTAACCATAACTGACAATTTCATATACCTGCAGACTCTAAAACAGTCAAAGAACTTCCCCAAACTATGTAAACAAACGACTGAAAATGTTATGAACCGGCGCTTGCTTGTTCGCCCACCCTCCCCTTCGTTTAGGGGGAGGGTGGGGCAGCCCGCAGCTCACAGGCTCCTCCACCCTCAGTTCTCCTCTGATGTTTGTTGGGTGATCATGGTTGCTCTGGCCCCTGTACTCATCTAGTACTCGCCTAGTTGTGCTTGTGGATGTCGAGTTTCAGCTCTTTGGTATCGTCTCTCAACTGTCAACCACCTGGTGAATAGATTTCTGAGCCTACTGGGCTCTATCATATCTACATTTAAAACTGTGTATGGAGTCAGCCTCCACCACATCACTTCCTAACGCATTCCATTTGTTAACTACTTTGACACTGAAAATGTTCATTATAATGTCCCTGTGGCTCATTTGGGTACTAAGTTTCCACCTGTGTCCCCTTGTTTGTGTTCCACCCATGCTAAATAGTTTGTCTTTGTCCACCTTTTAAATTCCCGAGAATTTTATAGGTGGTGATCGTGTCTCCCCTTACTCTTCTGTCTTCCAGTTTTGTGAGGTTCCAGTAGTCTTTCCTCGTAGCTTATATCCCTCAGCTCAGCGACTAGCCTGGTGGCATACCTCTGAACTTTTTCTAACTTCATTTTGTGTTTAACTAGATGTGGACTCCAAGTTAGAGCCATATACTCCAGTATTGGTCTGACATATGAGGTGTACAAGGTTATGAATGATTCCTTACACAAGTTCCTGAAGTTCTTATGTTGGACAGCCGTGCATATGCCACTGATGATATCCTTTTGATGTGGGCTTCAGGGAAAAAGTCTGGCATGATATCAACCCCCCCCCCAGATCTTTCTCTCTTCTGGTGTTTCTTTTGGGTTTCTTTTTTTTGCCTTCGTGGCTATACCTTACACGTTTCAAGTGTGCATGAACTATGATTTTGTGCACTTGGAGCTTATCCGAGCCAACATGGCCAGGATAAGGGCCAGGCCTTATCCGGGCCAGGCCTTATCCGGGCCAGGCCAACATGGATTTCGAGCGGGAAGATCGTGCCTCTCACAGCTACTTGAGCACTACGACAAAGTCACTGAGGCATTAGAAGAAAAACAGAATGCTGATGTGATATACATGGACTTCGTAAGGGCTTTCGATAAATGTGACCATGGCGTGATAGCACACAAAATGAAGTCAATGAGAATAACCGGTAAAGTAGGACGCTGGATATTCAGTTTTCTGTCAAACAGGACTCGGCGAGTAACGATCAACCATATAAAATCTAGTCCAAGTGCACTTAAAAGCTCTGTACCTCAGGGTACAGTCCTTGCACCTCTGCTTTTCCTTATTCTCATATCAGATATAGACAAAAATATAAGTCACAGCTTCGTATCATCCTTTGCAGATGACACAAAAATCAGTATGAAAATTACCTCGACTGAAGACATTGAAAAACTTTAAGCTGATATTAATAAAGTTTTTGACTGGGCATCAGAAAATAACATGATGTTTAACAGTGATAAATTCCAGGTAGTCAGGTACGGTAAAAATGAGGACCTTAAACATAACACAGGGTATAAAACACAATCAAATGTACCCATAGTAGGAAAACAGCATGTAAAGGATTTGGGAATAATAATGTCTGACGACCTAACGTTTAGGGAGCATAACCAAGCAAATATTGCGACAGCCAGAAAAATGATAGGATGGATTACGAGAACTTTCAAATCCAGGAATCCCATCACAATGGTTGTACTCTTCAAGTCACTTGTGTTGTCCCGTCTTGAGTATTGCTCAGTACTCACTTCCCCCTTCAGAGCAGGAGAGATTGCTGAAATAGAGGGAATACAAAGAACATATATGGCACGCATAGACGCGATAAAGCACCTAAATTATTGGGATCGTCTCAAAGCCCTCCAAATGTACTCACTAGAAAGAAAACAAGAGAGATATCAAATAATATACACCCGGAAGATACTGGAGGGCTAAGTACCAAATCTACACAGTAAAATAACAACGTACTGGAGTGAACAATATGGAAGAAAATGCAGAATAGAACCAGTGAAGAGCAGAGGTGCCATAGGCACATTCAGAGAACACTGTATAAACATCAGAGGTCCGCGGTTGTTCAACGTCCTCCCAGCAAGTATAAGAAATATTGCCAGAACAACCGTGGACATCTTCAAGAGGAAACTAGATTTATTCCTCCAAGGAGTGCCGGACCAACCGGGCTGTGGTGGGTATGCGGGTCTGCGGGCCGCTCCAAGCAACAGCCTAGTGGACCAAACTCTCACAAGTCAAGCCTGGCCTCGGGCCGGTCTTGGGGAGTAGAAGAACTCCCAGAACCCCATCAACCAGGTATCAACCAGGAGCTGTATGTGTTTATGGTTGTCTTTGCTGTGTGCTTCCAGGGTTATCTTCCCTAGAGTGTTTGGTGATGTTCCTTCAGAGGTCCACCTTGTTTGTGGTGGCTTTCACCCTGGTGTGAGTCTGGGTGTTTTCAATCACTGTCTTGACCACAGTTGGAACATCATCGGCAGGTGAGGCATCATTGTTACTTCATTGTTACAACACGCACGCATTGAGGTAGGTTTATCTAGCCGAGTGGTCCAGGCTGGGTTGATTTACTACCAGGCTGGTCATGTCAGACTGGTAGTCTGGTGTAGTCATCATGTCAGGCTGGTAGTCTGGTGTAGTCATCATGTCAGACTGGTAGTCTGGTGTAGTCATCATGTCAGGCTGGTAGTCTGGTGTAGTCATCATGTCAGACTGGTAGTGTCTTTTCACTAACCAAACATCCACTGTTGTATTTCAGGGAATAAATTTAATTTAAAGTAACCAAATTAGATTTATAAATATAGCTCATAATGGAAATGAAAGGTCTTTCAGGCAAATACATTGAAAAGATGTCATGTTGTACCCAATATGTATATTATTTGCAGATTCAGGTGCAAGGCATGCAAGAGGACGAGGCCGCGGAGGAAATGTTGGCGGGACTAAACGTAAGGCTACAGATGGGGACGCGCCGAAGAGAAGAAAGTGTGGAGTGTGTGGGGAAGAGGGACACAATCGTAAAAGTTGTCCTCAGAATACATTATAAATTTAAATTTATTTTAAACTTGATAGTGCTATTTCTGTATTTGTCAGGAAATGTAATGCAACATTATGCAGTAAGGGAAGAATTTTCTTTAGTGTACATGTCAAGGATGTAATGCTCTTTATTCTCTTCATGCGTCACATGATAGGGTGTCCACGCGATTACCAGTGGTGGTCGTGTGGTGTACCCTCCATGGTTGCCAGTGGTGGTCGTGTGGTGTACCCTCCATGGTTGCCAGTGGTGGTCGTGTGGTGTACCCCTCATGGTTACCAGTGGTGGTCGTGTGGTGTACCCTCCATGGTTGCCAGTGGTGGTCGTGTGGTGTACCCTCCATGGTTGCCAGTGGTGGTCGTGTGGTGTATCCCTCATGGTTGCCAGTGGTGGTCGTGTGGTGTACCCTCCATGGTTGCCAGTGGTGGTCGTGTGGTGTACCCTCCATGGTTGCCAGTGGTGGTCGTGTGATGTACCCCTCATGGTTACCAGTGGTGGTCGTGTGGTGTATCCCTCATGGTTGCCAGTGGTGGTCGTGTGGTGTACCCTCCATGGTTGCCAGTGGTGGTCGTGTGGTGTACCCCTCATGGTTGCCAGTGGTGGTCATGTGGTGTACCCCTCATGGTTACCAGTGGTGGTCGTGTGGTGTACCCTCCATGGTTGCCAGTGGTGGTCGTGTGGTGTACCCCTCATGGTTGCCAGTGGTGGTCGTGTGGTGTACCCCTCATGGTTGCCAGTGGTGGTCGTGTGGTGTACCCCTCATGGTTGCCAGTGGTGGTCATGTGGTGTACCCCTCATGGTTGCCAGTGGTGGTTGTGTGGTGTACCCTCCATGGTTGCCAGTGGTGGTCGTGTGGTGTACCCTCCATGGTTGCCAGTGGTGGTCGTGTGGTGTATTGCTCATGGTTACCAGTGGTGGTCGTGTGGTGTATCCCTCATGGTTGCCAGTGGTGGTTGTGTGGTGTATCCCTCATGGTTGCCAGTGGTGGTCGTGTGGTGTACCCCTCATGGTTGCCAGTGGTGGTCATGTGGTGTACCCCTCATGGTTACCAGTGGTGGTTGTGTGGTGTATCCCTCATGGTTGCCAGTGGTGGTCGTGTGGTGTATCCCTCATGGTTGCCAGTGGTGGTTGTGTGGTGTATCCCTCATGGTTGCCAGTGGTGGTCGTGTGGTGTACCCTCCATGGTTGCCAGTGGTGGTCGTGTGGTGTACCCTCCATGGTTGCCAGTGGTGGTCGTGTGGTGTACCCTCCATGGTTGCCAGTGGTGGTCGTGTGGTGTACCCTCCATGGTTGCCAGTGGTGGTCGTGTGGTGTATTGCTCATGGTTACCAGTGGTGGTCGTGTGGTGTACCCCTCATGGTTGCCAGTGGTGGTTGTGTGGTGTACCCCTCATGGTTGCCAGTGGTGGTCGTGTGGTGTACCCCTCGTGGTGGCCAGTGGTGGTCGTGTGGTGTAACCTCCATGGTTACCAGTGGTGGTCGTGTGGTGTACCCCTCATGGTTGCCAGTGGTGTACCCTACATGGTTGCCAATGGTGGTCGTTTGGTGTACCCTCCATGGTTGCCAGTGGTGTACCCTCCATGGTTACCAGTGGTGGTCGTTTGGTGTACCCTCCATGGTTGCCAGTGGTGTACCCTCCATGGTTACCAGTGGTGGTCGTTTGGTGTACCCTCCATGGTTGCCAGTGGTGTACCCTACATGGTTGCCAATGGTGGTCGTGTGGTAGACAGTGGTGCTCATGTACTCACCTAGTTGTGCTTGTGGGGATTGATCTTTAGCTCTTTGGTGGAGAAGGTGGAGTACAGTGTGCTGCCAGCTGGCTTTGTCTTATCAGCCTACTGGCTTTGCCTCATCAACCAGCTGACTTTGTCCCATCAACCTTCTGGCTCTGTCCCATAACAACTCAGTTTTTACGGCACCCCTTTTAGTTTCTATCTTCCCTTCACTTATTTTATTCCCTTTTCTTTTAAATTATTTTTATACAATTATTTGCCAAAGTTTCACTCATGATCATAGGACCTGCCTCCTGTGTACTCATGCTTCACTCATGATAATTCACCTGCCTCTTATATACTCATCGTTCATTCATGATCATTCACTTACATCTTATATACTCATCTTTCAATCATTACAATCATTCATCTGCTAACTATATATCTGTGTTCCACTCGTAAAAAAACGTTTTCTGCATTCTGAAATCCATTGTTTGTTAAAAAGTACAGTAACAAAATCTAGCATATCAATCATAACAAATTGACTGATTTGAGTAGCAATTAACTTCAATGAATTATGTTGTGAATTGAAATACTGTACCACACCAGGCCATGCTTGTTACCATTTGTTTGACATATCCTGAGCAAAATATGTAAAGTGAAAGCTTGTCTCTTATGCTGTGTTTCTCGATCATTTTAAGAGTAACCTTGACCTGTGTGCAATATGTTCTGAAATTCTTTTTCATTTAATTTTCGGGGGCAAATCAGTTAATTTCTTCTAATTTTATGTCTGACAGCCTCATAGTGCCCTAATACCATCAGCTCTCAATCTGTGTGGGTTTGTAACATTTGATTTCAAATACTATTTGTATTCACAAATTTGTATTTAATACCTAAGTTCTTGGCACATGTTGACATGTACATGTATGCAGAGAAGGGAATTATCAGGAGAAAATGTCAAGCCATTACAACTAAATAGCACTTCGAAGAGGGTCAGGATAAAGACCTGGGATGGGACGGTGGGAAGGAATAGTGCCCAACCTCTTGGATGGTCGGGGATTGAACGTTGACTTGCATGAAGTAAGATCGTCGCTCTACCATCCAGTCCAAGTTATTGGGCATGTATCCAGGGAATATTTAGGTGTGTGTGTGTGTGTGTGTGTAAGGGCAAATTCAACTGTTCCCAAGTTTTTCAAGCTGGCACGAGAGATGGTCGGCCACGCAGAAGATGCATCGGCCAAACTGCATTGCCTCCCAATTTGGCCGACCAATCAAAACCTATGTATTTTCCTTTTGTTATTCCTGCCAAATGTCTCATGTTTAATTAACTTTTGAATTGCATTCTTTTGCCAAGCTTCTGTCTTTAAAGTACAGTAAAATAAATGGAAACAGGTGTGTAATTTAAAATTTGGAAACAGTTAAATATTTAGGGAAGTCCCTTGTGACTCCTTGAAGCTGCCATATTACTAGGTGCCATCAGTCGTAGAGTTCTGTTGGCCTATCAGAGACCTGCCCCCCAACCCCTCCCCCCCCTCCCTCAAAGAGGTACCTGGAGCATACCGGGAGAGGGTTCTGGGAGTTCTTCTACTCCCCGAGCCCGGCCTGGCCTGGCCCGTGATATAGGTGCAGGGAGTGGTGACACAGTGTAAAATTTCTGTGAATATATTTATGCCTACCACCTATTAAAGAAGGCACCGAGAAAGTCAGTGGAACAAAACAAACCACTGCTGGCTTTAAATGAGTCTGCAGCCTCAAGAAACCACCAAAAGGACTCCTCCGACAATATAAACAAATGATGTGAAATTCATGAAACTAGCATGAGCTCATTCGTCCCACCTCCCCTTTCATTTTGGATGGGAGGGGGGGGGTGTAGGCAAGCAGAGGTCAGCAGGCTGCTCTACCCTCAATTCTCCTCTGATAGTAGTGAGTGCCTGGTCTACCTCTCTGTTGCTCTGGCTCCAGTGTCCTGTTTTCAGCCAAGTGGTGAACAACATTTGAGACTGTTCGTGTGTACTCTAATGCTGTGTGGGCCAGAAGTTTAGTATGCTTGGAGCTGCATGTGATCAGGGTTTCCTTCCTTGTTCATGCCTTTAATACTTATCTAGCTGTACTCACCTAGTTGTGCTTGTTGGGGGTTGAACTTTTATCTCTTTGGTCCTGCCTCTCAATTGTCAATCAACTGGTGTACAGGTTCCTGAGCCTATTGGGCTCCATCATATATACGTTTGAAACTGTGTATGGAGTCTGGCTCTACCACATCACTTCCTAGTGCATTCCATTTGTTAACTACCTTGACAAAAAGTTCTAATGTGTCTATAGCTCATTTCAGTACTACATTTCCACCTGTGTCCCCTTGTTCATGTTCCACCAATGTTAAATAATTTGTCTTTGTCCACCCTGTCAGTTCCTCAGAGAATTTTGTAGGTGGTGATCGTATCTCCCCTAATTCTTCTATCTTCCAGAGACGTCAGGTTTAATTCCCGTAGCCTTTCCTTGTAACTCATACCTCTCAGGTCTGGGACTAGTCTGGTGGCTTACCCCTGATCTCTAACTTTGTCTAATGTTCAACTAGGTATGGTCACCAGACTCGAGCTGCATACTCCAGGATTGGTCTGACATAAGTGGTATACAAGGTTCTGAATTATTCCTCACACAAGTTTCTAAAGGCAGTTCTTATGTTGGCCAATCTAGCAAACAACCACTGATGATATCCTTTTGAAGTGGGCCTCTGGGTATAGGTTCATTGTGGTATCAACCCCTCCAGATTTTTCTCTCTACTTGACTCCTGAAGAATTTTGTCTCCTAGATGCTTCTTGTATTCAGGCTCTTGCTTCCTTCACCAAATTTTATTACTTTACATTTACTTGAGTTAAACTTTAGGAACCATATTCTAGACCATTCTTCCAGTTTGTCCAGGTCTTCTTGTAGTCTATTTCTATCTTCCTCTGTCTTGATCCTCTGTCTCTAGTGCCCTTGCGCTGTTAGGGTTATCTTCCTTCGAGTGTTCAGGGATCACTCTCTCAGGGGTCCTCCAGGTTTCTTGAGTGCAGAGGCAGTTAATCCTACTGGTCACGCTTAGGCTTCTGAGTCTTTCTTTCAGCTAGCCCCTTCCATCAAAGCCTCTCCCTTGGACTCCATTTTTGTATCCTGGATGGTGGGTGCAGATGATGGCTCTGCCCCTTAACCTTCTGCTGCAGTTCCAAGGGCTTGGGGGGTAGATCAAGGTAGGTCTTTGTCCCATTTGACTCTTCGTGCTAGCTCTTGCCTTCCACAGAGGGGTCTTCTTTTGCAGGAAAGGGGTTTTCATATTCCCCATTCCTGTACAAGTTTGATTTGGGTGTATGGCTCCTACTTGGATTTGATTCAAGGTGCCTTTGGGCCCCTTTGTGTTCGTCCTTCTAGAGGTTTCCCCACATCTCAAGTTCTCCCGGGGGGCAGCTTGGGAGGCTCTTTTTGTGCACCTCCTGTGTAACCCAGATTGTCTCATTGATCTCTGAGTACGAGATCTCAGAGTAATTCTGGCTAACAGAGAATCCTCTGCTTGGAACTTGACGTGGCATCTCTCACACCCGCACTCATGAGTGAC